ATCTATTCTTTCTAGGACTGATAACAAATTTAAATGATGGGTGTTTCAAAAAAATTGTACATTTTATAACTAAATAAAATGTTATCGTTGATCTAGTTAAACATACCGATACTATTCAATATTTATAAATGGGGCCATATATCAACATGGATATGTATAATATCAAGATACGCTTTGAAGATCTCTACTTCAAAGTGTTTGTTACAAAAGATCAGCAATGTATGATAGGGATGGGGGGGGGGGGGTGTATAAATAATCCTCTAAAGTATTAAATTTTCACCATATACCAATAGATTAAGTCAATAGTTCAATTGAAAGTGCTAATTATGAAAGAGCTACTTAATTGAAGTAACTGCATTGCCTTCAAACGATTCAAGAGAACTTGACAATTAGAAAATGAATAAGGTAGGTAATTGTGAGCCCTTGATATATAATGTTATAATGGTGACAATTATTATAAATAGAAATGGAGGTAGGATATAACCTATTAGCCAAGGATGGACTTGTGGACCATAATTGGCTTATTTATCAGTTGGCGTAAATATTATTTTAAGTTAATAAGAATTATCTCTACACCTCATTATCACCCCCCCCCCCCTTCTATGTCATTAATAGATATACTAAATTAGAATGAAATAAAATAAGTAGGGGAGACCAAAGTTATGTGACAAGTGTTTTCATCTTTTGCGATAAAATTTGAATTTTATAGGATTAAACAATCGTATCATTTAGATGCCTCATCGTTAACCTATCTAAAAACTTTAAAATAAACTAATTTTTAGCTTAAAATACATTTAAGCATGCATAAATTTGCTTAACCTTATGAATTTAAGACAATTGTGCCCAAAAAATTTGCATTAATTTGATTTTAATTATACAAGAATTCATTAAAATTAAATTTATTCAAGATTTAATTGTTTAGGGACTGTAGATTAGAGCTAGCATATAAAAAGTCTATTTGATTTCTATTATCTAAAAAAATTGATCAAAATACTTAATATAGTGAAAGACATAGACTTAGATTAGACCATGTATTTATTTTTTAATTAATTGTTTACATTTAGTATATATATATCCAAATATTTATCTCAAATTAAGGTGCCTTTCATTTATTATCTTAGAATATGATTCAAATTTTGTCAAAAATATCAATATTAGAACATATTTGAAGAGTTATAACATATGTCTTAAAATATTTATGGATACCAAGAAAATGTATTCATAGATCTTATCTATAAAAATTTATTAATGCTAAAATATATACCGCCATCTATTTACTTTTATATAATCTTATATTTTAATTAAAAAAAACAATTATCACGAAAAGCGGTCACTTAATAACAATACAAAAAATAAACTACCTAAAAACATAATAAAAATTTTAAATATTTTTTTAAAAATGGTCTCTGGCACATTAAGTGGTCACTTCAGGAATTCGTATTACAAAAATAAATCGAAAATTGAATTTAAAAAATTTTCAACAAAATTAAAATTAAAATCTTTTCAAAGTGATTACTAAAAATTACTAGGTCATTTCAGCAGATATCACTGTAATTCCAAAGAATAGCTTAAAGAATAATTTTAGATTTGATTTTAGACGACTAAATTGGTCATTTTATTCGAATAAATTAGTTGTTTTGCGACTGATTTGGTCCTCGAGTTTTTGGTCAGGTTAATCGACTGACTATGGTCGGAAGAACGCGACTAATTAACAACACTACATATATGTGGTAGGTAAGTTAATACTGTAAATCTTCCCGTGGTGTTTCTGAATCTTTCAATTTTAAACTATTTTAAGTGAGAGCAATTTTTAAATTTAAAAAAATTTAACTATACCGGAGATAGAATTTCAGAAAATTTTGTCATAACCTTCTGAAGAAATCTTAATTTATATTACCTTTGTCCTTCGTATAAATTAGGATAGTCAAATTGTCTGAAACTATTAGGGTAGATGTACTATTACTAGGGATGTAAATTTCCCGGGAAACTATATTTCGGGGAAATTTGGGGAAAAAACGGGAAATAATGGGAAAATAGGGAAAAAACGGGAAACTATCTTTTTTATAATACTTTACAGGTCAATATTGATTTTTTTTTATGTTTTATTAAAAATATATAGATTATAAACATTATAATTAAACAAATATAAATTATTTTCAACTAATTTGCAATTACTTAAAATGTTTTATTTGAAATATTATATATAGACTAAATAATATTTAAACAATTAATTTTGAATAGTTAATTATCTTCGTTTGAAGATGAAAATGATTCCAGATCAGAGCTTGAAATTCTGGAATCCAGCAATTTGTCATTTTCTGAAATTTCCTTTCCCATAAAATGTAGATTGGCTCTTATATAAACTAATTTGCGAACTTTGTCATTTTTTATTCTATTTCTAGATTTAGAATGAATATTTCCAAAAGAGGACCATATTCTTTCGGATGCTGCACTTGTTGGTGGTATAGATAAAATTCGTATGGCTAGGGTCGATATGTATTGATTGCAACATAGACCTAATAAAATATTGAATAACACAATTTTAAGATTAGAAAAAGAGTTAAGTTATTGTTTACAGAAATATAAAAGTATTTAACCTTTCCACCAACTCACTGGATTTGTAAATGATGCGCCTTGCCAAAGACTTGCTATATTAAAAAATTCTTCCCTTCGATATTTGGATAGGTTTCCTATTACTCTTGCAATATCTAAATCTAGATATTCAGAAAATCGGTTAATAAATCCAACCCTTTTGCAACTTCATTGTCTCTTAAATTAAATCCACAAAACCTTGGGTCAAATATATGAGCAGCATAATGAATGTCCCGACAACAAAAAATTTTTCGGCTTTTGATAAACTGCTCTATTTCTAAAATCTCGCTCTGCGACAATATATTTGATATTGTTTTATAAGCGTTAAATGTCTCCCTGATATGAATAAACGCTTGAGGGACATCAGATAAATTGACTTTATCTCCTTCCACTATCTCTATTTGCGTAAATATGACTTTAATAAAATTATATAGTTGCATTAGATCATTTAAAAACCCATCGTTACCAAGAAGAGTAAGTCTCTTATCTCGGTCAGTAAATATATCAAGAATTGCCATTTCCTGTAAAATATCTTTATTTTTTAACAAGCTATTTATCATAGTATCTTCTAAAATTTTGCAAATGTAAATAGGGAAATTGACATAATTCAAAAACAAAACACAATTATAATTTATGATATGAACCACGAGGAAAAAATGATTTTATACAATCTAATAAAAATCGTATTTATTTTATCATGAGATCATTTTCAAAATTGGGCTGTTAATATTATAAAAATCATGTTGATTTAGGCAAAAAAAACCTATTATAAAAATTGGGGAAACTATAGCGGAAATTTCCCATTGTTGGAATTTGTTTTCGGTAATCAAAAATTATAAGATTTTTCTTCATAAATGATAGTAAAAATCTAAAAATTCCGAATCACCGTGGGAGAATTCTGGATTAATACCTATTCCAGATTAACATTTACCACACATTATATGAAAAGCAGTATATTATTTACCTTGTAAAATACAGCTAGCTTTTAAACTCGATTGACCGGTAAAACCTTTAACAGAATGAACAAATTAAAAATAAACGAGTAAAACCAAGAAATTTAGAAGGCTTCAGATATTCTATTGTGAAATCTTTTTTTATTTTCTGACGAAGAATTATTGGAAAATTTGGGCGATAATAGTCTTATCAAATTTTTTTTTTGAAACCAAAAATAATAATTATTTTCAATAAATTTTCGGAAGATAACAATTAAGATCATAGATATAACACTGAAATATACCAACTTCGGCTCTGATGAAATGAGGGGATCTTAATTATAAAAAGTTTTTACTTATAGGCTGAAAATGTCAAAAAAATAATTATTTTTTGACATTAATCAAAAAGTTAATATTTTTAAATCTTATATAAATTGTCTAATAATACATTATAATACATTATACAAAAATATTTAATTGCATCTAAAATATTTTTATATATATTTTTTAAAAAAATTTATTCACATATTTGAACGTATTCAGTTTTTCGCGAATGGATTTTGAACACGGAACGTATTCGATTTCTTATCAATGAACGATTAACTTCATTTTTAAAAAAAAAATGGATTCTATTAGAATGTCATGATCAGATTTTATTTTAGGATCCGACCCGGACGATTTAATAGCTGATCGATTTTTTAAATCTGTTTATGAGATGAAGCTAAAGGGGAACGTTCCCATTGATTGCACCTCCAGCTTAGTAGATCTGTCTTAATCATCAGGATTAATAATTTTATAGCTTTAAAAACATTTTAAAATCTTATCTCTTTTTAAAAAATTTAAAAAATTGGTAAATTTAAAAATAATAAAGGTTACATTTGATTAAATCCTGTCCTGTTTCAAATATAAGCTTTATATAACTTGTGAGGAAAATTGTGATAATTAAAAATATATTTTTATATATTTTTGTGGTTTCAATAAAGGGGATCTAAGCATTAAGTCTAAATTTAATATTTTACAAGTGGTTTTCCAATTCATATCATCCTACCTGAAATTAATCTTATAAACAGGGTTATCTATCCAGTGATATCATTTTCTAATTAAAGAAGCCAAAATTTTTAAATCAAAAATCTATTTTAACAATTAACATCATTATGGTTAAACTGTTTCGAACGGGGTGAATCTCTAGCCTTGGTAGATCACTTAATATACAACTTTTTCTTATACTGTGTTCAATCAATTTTAAAAAATTCGAAAAGTTTTGAAAGTTTCGCAAATTTTAATCGTGTCAAATTTTTGAAATTTAAAATTATTTTATCTAGAATTAAGTTTTGAGCATGTATATTTATTTTATTTTTCTTAAAGTTTTGAAAGTTTGTGATTTTAATTTTTTTTGATGTGGACATAGCGAAATAGAAAAAACAAAATTGAAATACTATAATTTTATTCCAAAAAAAAAATGATATTTCGAAATCAAAATTATTATAATAAATTTACACTATTAAATTTAATTTGGCGAAGTGAAAAAAAAACTCATATAATTTTTTTTGCAGCCATAAATCACAAATTCTTTGGTTAATTTTATTTCGAGATTCAAAATCTCGAATTGCGAAATATTTAGCGAAAAAATGGAGAGTGGGGCAGTTTCGATTTATAAATGTTTTTTTTAAAACAAAACAAAATTATATAAAAGAATACTTGAGAAGAAAAAAAAAGAAATTATTTCATAAACAAATTAAAATAAAACAAATATATTTTGGTTAACAAGAAAAAGAGGACAAAACTAAACAAACCGTCGAGATAGGAGAATTTAGAAAATAATGATTGATAAGTACAATATAACATTTTGCAAATTATTTATTATCACGTGATATGGGGTCACAGATTTACGAATTTCACATGGAACAAAAAAAAAGGTAGGGAAAAGTTGGCGCCTGTTCACTTAATCCTTCTTCTTGCTTCTATCCCCTTTTGGTTTCCCTAATCCGGCATTAGCAATTAAATCGTTGTTAGTGGCATCCCTAGATGTTTTGCCGCCTTTCTTACCCTTGCTGTATTTGGCATAAGACGAAGATTTTCCCACCCCGCCCCTCGAACGATTGGCTCCATCGTTTTCGCCTTCGTAGTCCTCGTCTGCATGTTCTGTCGCGTTTTCTCTTTCGATGTCTCCCTCATTTTCGGAATCAGAAATTGAACCCTTTTTGGATGAGGTGAAATGTTCCCTGAACGCCGAGAAAGTCGATTGACCCTTGATATTATCATTAAATATTTTTCCGTCTTTGTGTCGGTGGCTGGTTTTTCTCAAGGCTTTTTGGAGCGCGTCCCAAATGCCCCCCATGAAGAGGGTGCAAAAAATATTTTCAAGGGGTAAGAACGGATCGGAAATGTCCCAGATGAGCACGGAAATCCGGTAGTATATCATGAAGGTAACCACGCACAGGTAAAGCATGGGCGCGGGCACCTGGGTGAGTATAAGGTTGAGTTTGTGAAGCGTGAAAACGATAGCAACCATGAGGCTCAGTTTGGTTGAACTTAGATATAGATATTTGTTTGTTTTCAAAAAAAAAAGAAAAGTATTTAATAATTTGAACTATTCAGTGAACAAGTTCAATCATAGACACCAGCAGACCCAGGAACCCCCCCCCCCAAAAAAAAATTAACGATTCTTTTGAAAAATCTCGGGTGGGACTCTTAGAAAAATAAATCCGGAGCAGGTAGGGTCTACAAAAAAAACAGGCCCACTCTGGTTTAAAAATTACAAATGGATCGGGTCAGGGTTTCAAAATTACCAGGTCCAGGTTTAAAAATTACGAAGTTTCTACTTCCTTTCTTTTGTAAAAAGTAATTAGAAAAATGTCGCTCACCTATATTTTAGATTAAACCCTATGTTTACATTTAGCGCGAATTCGCGACGAAGTATAGAAAATTCGCGGGGAAGAATACAAAAAAAAGCATTTTTTTATACTTGCGCTAACTGTGAATGCATGGTTATGGAGAAAATTGTGAATGGAAGGGCAAAAGATATTGAGAAGAAAAAAACGTTTGAATTATAGATAGAAATTGCTAGTATACAAAATAGGGGATGATTCTACAAAACTGAGAGCTATTGTTTCTAGGACACAGATAAACTTTAAATGATGTGTGTTTCAAAAAAAATATTATATAACTAAATAAAAATGTTAACGTTGGTCTAGATAATCCTACCGAATCTATTCAGTATTTATAAATTTGAGCCATATATCAACATGGGTATGTATAACATTAAGCTTTGAAAATCTATACTTAAAGGTATATTTGGTACAAAAGATGAGCAATGTTTGATGGGGGTGGGGGGGGGGAGAGTCGTTACGATTAACACAGAATATTAAAAGTCTTCTCACAATATTCACATAGATTTGAAGTCAACTTTTAGTTAAATTGAAAGTCCTAATTAAGAAAGAACTACTTAACTTGCATTGCATTCAATCGAATTATTCAAGAGAGCTTGGCAAATAGACAAATGAATATGGTAAGTATTTGTGAGTCCTTGAAATGTTTTCGTGATAACAATTATTACTATAAATAGAAATGGAGGCAGGATATATCCCCTTAGCCAAGAAAAGACGTGTGGACCTCAATTGGATAATTTGTCAGTGGGCGTAAATATAATTTTAAGGTGGGCCAGATGGGGTCTATTTTTTTAAAAAAATAAGGATCGGCCTAATATTTTTAAAAAATTCGAGTCGAATCGAGTCAGGTATTGGAAATTTTTTTTAAATGTATCTAAATTTATCAATTTTATGTTGAATTTTTTATTGTAAAATAAAAATATTTGATTTTATTTATAAAAACTAAACGCCATATAATATATATCTTTTATTTTGAGTAATTATAAAAATTAATTTGAATATTTAATAAATTCAGACCGGGCCAGTAAAACTTTTTAACAAATATCGGATTCGGGCCGGACCGGCAAAATTTTTTTAAAAAAATTTCGAGCCAGGCCGGGCTTGAAAAATTAGGCCCGATGCAGATCACTAATAAGAAGCAGAGTTGTTAAAGTAGCGCGCTATCTTTTTTGGTAGCTATAGCTAATAGCGGCTACTTTTTTTGAAATTATTTTTTTTTAGCGCGATATTATTTTTAAAAGTAGCTAGATAATGAACGTAAGTATAAGCACGAAAATTTAAATATAATACCATAATTAATTATAATTTTTATGAATTATTATTTAATTTTGAAATTGAAATATATTTCCAATTTGTAATTTATATTTTCAATGTATTATAAACCTAAATCACCTGTTAATAATTTAAAATGGTATCGCATATGGATATCCAAATCGTTGAAAGTGATTCAGAGTCAGTCAATGATATTAATGAAATGGAAGATACCATGGAAAAAAATGATATTCATAACAATACTTTCCCATTCCCTAGATTTCAAAAATTTTCAAGATAAATTAAAACAAAAACTGGCTTCAAATTTATATGTTTAAAATGTGAAAAAAATATTTCCTCAGATCAATCCAGTAGCTATAACCTCAAGGAACACCTAAAGGTAAATTATCATTTTTACATAAAATAATAATATTTATTTTAAAAGACTGTTCATGCTAATAGTTTTAAGGAAATTGAACAACATTTAAATAACTTAAGCATAGGTTAATCTACATCCAAAAAGACTAATTCCATTCGGACAAAATTAATTAATAATACAAATGCCAATATTTCTCAGAAATTAACTGATAAAGTTATTGTGAATTTTATAATTGATACAAGTAAGCCAATGTCCTTGGTTGACAATCCATCATTTACTATGATGATTAAAACTTTATCACCTGGTACAACTATTTTATGTCGCCAGACACTTGTGAATAAAATAGCAAATAAGTTTAAAGTGATAAGATGCTTTAATAGTAGAATTATCAGAGATATCTCATATATGTACCACGACTGATAGTTGGACACAACAATGTATATAAGATTAAATAATCCTTTGCTCTCAAGTGCTAGTGTCGAGAGATTATTTAAAGGCAAAACTGATACTTTCTGATCGTCGCTCTAGACTTGGGGATGATAATATTGAAATGATTTTATTATTAAAATTCAACAAATTATCATAAATATTTAAAATTTATTACATATAATCAAAATTAACTATATTTTAATATTTATAAATGTTGATTTTTATATATTATTTTCTATACAATTACATTATATGGAAAAATTAAAAAAAAATTGTTTCTAAATTTTTTTTATAAAAAGTAGCCTAAAAGTAGCTAAAGCTACTTTTTAAAAATAGTAGCTATAGCGAGCTACTTTTTTTGACAAATAGCGATAGCGGTAGCGCGCTACTTTTAAAAGTAGCGATTAACAACTCTGATAAAAAGTATCCCTACACCTCATTCCCCCCCCCTCCTTAATAAATTAGAATAAAATGAGTAGGGGAAAAAAGTTATGTAACATGTGCTTTGATATTTTGCGATAAAATTTGAATTTTATAGGATTAAACAATTGTTTCATTAAGAAGCCTCGTCATCAGCCTATCTAAAAACTTATAAACTAATTTTATTTGGCTTAAAATGGTGCTTAACCTTATGAATTTAAGACAATTGTGCCTAAAAATTTTGGATTAATCTGATTTTGATTATGCAAGAATCCATTAAAATCAAATTTTTTTCAAGACTTAATCGTTTAGGCACTGTAGACCAGTGCTGGCTAATAAAAAATCCATTTGATTTCGATTATTTAAAAAAATATATTTGTTCAAAATACTATATAAATTCCAGATACCATTTACTCTGCCCGGCCTGGATTTAAAAAAATAATAAAATTCGGCTTGGCATAGATTTTTTAAAAATATTTTTAAGCCCGGCCCGGGTTTTATTTCAAGTCCTCGCTTTGTAGATGCTAATGGCGATTAAAAAAAAATTTTTAACATTCGGCTCTGCCGGATATTTTTAAAAAAAAATTTAAGTAGGTGCAGGTATCTGATAAATCCTAAACTAATTTTAATTTTTTTTAAAAATGTTGTTAATGCTACTTTCAGTTTTAAAGTTTATTTAAAAAAAATTAACACTTCAATATAATCACAGCATTATAATGAGCATCATTTGAGCGTTTCAAATGCTGTTTTGCAAACGCAAATATCGCTTTTCAAATAATAACGTGCAAATTGGTCAAATTACCGTTTGGCATTAGCAACCATTTGCTTTTTTCTCGATATTTCTTTAATCCTTCATTTTGCAATATTATGCTTTTACTTTTAAAATGGAATATTTCGAATTTAATGAAATAAATAGGCAGACGATAATATAATTTAGAAAAACTAATTCTTTTTTTTTATAACTTATTCAAAATTTTTAATCAACGATATTACGTCCATAAGATGCGTTACGCTTTTTTTTAATTAAAAGAGTACGGCAAAACGCAAACGCTCAAAAATAACTTTTAATAGAAAGAGGGGTGGATTCTGAAATCTTCTTCATTTTGGGATACTCCAAACATTTGCCACAAAACTCATAATCAATATTTTATAAAATGGCGGGTGTTTCATTAAATGAACCCCTTAGGCACTTTAAATTGGGACAAGGTATCGGAAGCATGACCCCTAAAATTATAAATAATAAAATCTCCATCATATTTTTTTGTTTAAATTAGGGGATTTCACAATAGTATTCGTTTTAGATAAAAAAAAAATATTGACTGTCCAAATAAAATACAGATATTGACTCTTAGATTTAAAAAAAAAATAGATATATACGAATATCATGAAGATAAATCGGCCTTATATTTGACAAAATAACAAATATGGACAAGTTTCTTAATATGTATTTTTTTTCAACAAATTCCTGATTGGCCTGAAGCATCAATTCTTTACTTGTGAGGCAACATTATAGTAAGGTAAAAAATTCTATCTAATTATCTAATTAAGTTAATATTGATTTGAAATTGCAATTTATATCGTATTAATTTTTTTTCTCATAAATAAAAAATTTTGCCAACCATACAAACATGCTGAAATATATATTTCAGACAACATTCTAGTATTCATTGTTTTTTTTTTAAAAAATGCATCGTAGTGCACACAAATTGAGCGTTTGTAAGTTAACTATACATTTTTTTAATAAAATAAAGTAACAGATCCCTTGTTTAAATTGAGGTTACCTATAGTTGCAACTAAATTTAAAAAAATAATTGGCTTTTATCTACCATAATATCATCTGTCATTTTATCCCATTCATTTCTAAATATTCCATTTTAAAAGACAAGTTAATTCTTTTAAATTTTATATTAAATTAAAAAATAATTATACAACTAGGAAGGGATTTTTAGTACCCTGCTCTTATTATTCTTATCTGGATAACAAGTTTTGTAGGCTTTCTTGTGAAAAAAAACCTAGTTTTAAATCTGTTTATAGGCCAAGAAAAATGAGAATATAAATGTAGCATTTGAAACACTCATATGCACATTATTATGAACTATTTAAGGTTGAAAAATTTGATATTTCTCTGAATTGACCTAAACCCTATTTAGAATCTAAATACTTAAAAAGAGAGGAAAGCATAAAGAGATATGAGAAGAAAGGTGTGAATAGAATTGGCTGAAGTAAATTATTGAAATGGCAAAAAAAAAGATATTTAAATAGATTTAGTAAAGAAAGCTTATGTTTTAAAATTACTGAGAATCATTTAAGAATAGTTTGTGGATATAATAGCTAGGGTATATTATATTTTTAATATAAAATTATCAATAGGTTAATTACGCAGTTGGTTGCATCAGTTCATTTGAGCTTGGCCCCATACCACGAAGAGACCTCTCAAAGTTTCTAAGTACAAGGCTTCCAACACCTATAATAAATTTGAATGATTTGAAAGGATTATTTAAAAATAAAATTTCAGATATAATCATATAAAATACTAGTTATTTTCAATTTTTTCCATTTATTATTAGTATGATAAATTATAATTTTTAAAAGAATATACCTTTAATGGTTCCTATCGTAACAATAATTAAATAAGATTGTGGGTATAATTTCATGGCAATTGAAACCCCTTCGTAGATATTTTTACATCTATATATTTCTTTAGCACCCATTACCAATAATTTTATGGGGAAAAAATTGAAAATATGGTAAACAATATCAAAAGGAGAATAAAACATCAAATACCTAGTCAAATAAATTATTGTTAGATAATAAAAAATATAATTACCATACAATGGTAGCTAATATGAGCTTATCCTGTTGTTTAAATGGAATCATAATAGGCTCACCAAGAAGAAAATTTGCTAATATGTTTCCAGCAAAAATTGATAACATTGTTGAAAACCAACATGATAGTGGATGACGACGTGTAAAGGGACGATCATCTTATAAAATATTTATATAAATTGGTATATATTAGTTTAAACTCATTTCAGCTTTTAATATTAAACAAACACCTATGGCATGTGCAACTACAAAATAAGGATAAAGCTTTAAATTTGTAACTCTATTTGCCACATTAATCAGTAATAATCGATCGAATTTAAGTAGATTAAAAGAGGATAAATAGTCATAAGACATTATTAAAGTGATTCGGGTTAAATGAATGAAATCTTAAATATTAATGCCATATGATTTGCTTAAAATAATTTATGAAGTACTAGCACTTGACTAAATATTTAACGAAAATACATTTGATTAATCATGAAGGCCAATAATTGGTATAGATATAATTGATACAGATACAAATAATTCTCTGTTTCAAGTTGATCATTTTATCAGCTATCTACTTCTACTGGATATGATGAAGAGTAAAATTTATTACTAGGGAAATATTAGTGTTTTATAATTAGTGAAATTAAATATTAAGATTTTGATACAAACTAAATTCGTCTTTATCTCTGAGTAAAATTTTAAACCATTGTTAGCTATTCCCATCAACAATCTCTTTCTTCTTCTCACTAATGAAGAATTTCATATAAGCATTTCGCTTAGACTTGATTGCGAATAACACTGTAATATAAATGTAGTTGTAAATTGAATTTAAATTAAATATAATATTAACTTTTCGTTTGTAAATTACATAACCTGAAGGATTGAATTCATTATATATATATATACGTGATATTTTGTATTAAATAAACTTTTACTTACTTTTTTTACTTATTTAATAAAACACTTTATTGGCGACGATTTCTTTAGAGAAGATTTATTTGATTTATTAAATTTAAAGTAAAAGACTCAATGGAAGTAGCTCCTATTAAAGTTGAAGATTCAATGGAAGTAGTTCTTATTAAAGTTAAAGACCAATGGAACTAGTTCCTATTAAATTCCATATTCCAGAATTCGTCAAAGAAAAAGTAAATATTCAGGACTACTTATTTAACTTGGAGTTAATTTATAAAGTAAGAAATATTATAGATTTAAATACAAATAAAGACCTGCTTTAGCCTATATCGGAACAGACAATCTTATCAAATAAGAACTTTCACTTTCCAATAAATTTAGAGATGATAAATTATGATACTTTAATAAAAAGCTTAAATTTGGTGTTCAAGGATAGTTCGAGCATTTTCGTAAATAGGGAAAAAAATTTTATGTTAAAAAGATGTAGTGAGACGATTATTGACTTTTCAATTAGGGTTAAAACTGTCTGTTCTCTTTGTAATTTTAAACCGCCTTTTGATGAACTTTTAAGAGATATATTTATCCTAGGAGTAGGCTTACCTGAGTTGGACAAAGAACTTCGGTCAAAGTATATCGAAGGCAATATTACTTTTAAAGAGACCGTGCGTTTACCGATCGCGCTGGCTTCGTTGGAAAATAAAACCCAGACTGAAGTTAATAAAATATTTAGAAATAAGCCAACACAGGGTTCGAAAAATAATTATTTTAGAAATAATAATTATACAAACGTCAATAGATTCAATAATAATAAACACTTTAGTAACAATTATTCCTAATAATAATTATAGACCTAGTATCAAACCTAACGCTATTCAAAAGAAAGTGATATGCTTTCGTTGCGGTAAGGCAAACCACATAGCGAAAGATTGTAGAACCCATGCCATACAAATGATTTTGACACGGACACCTCGCCTGTCATTTTCAAATAAAGCAACCATCGATGCGAAGATAAATGGGTTGCAGCTAGCTATGGAGTTTGATACCGGCGCCGCGTAGTGTGATTGATGAGGTCACCTGGAATCGTATTGGCAGACCACAACTATCACCGGCTTATAAATTAGTGGGATATAATCATCCAAATCGAAGTACTAGGTAAATGTACCGTAGAAGTCAAAGTAAAAAATATTTCGAGATTTTTAATTATTTGGGTAGTTAAAGGGGAGAATTCCATTATTTTTGGGATGCCTTTCATTAGAGAATTTGATATAAAACTACCGGAAGAAGTTCGTATTAATAAAATAAATATGAATATTCCCTCTTTAAATACGATTGTTTCAAAATTCCCTCAAGTTTTTAAAAAAAAATTAGGTGAAATCAAACTGCAAAAGGCAGTCATCAGAATAGAACAGAACACGTTACCGATTGCATTATCAGCAAGAAGAGTTCCTTTTTTGTTGCGTCGAACCATTGAAGCTGAGTTGGACAGACTTTTAGACGAAGGCGTTATCGAGAAGGTGGATCCAGCAATAACTCCAATCACTTGGGCTACGCCAACGGTTAATATCTTAAAGAAATCCGGTGCCGTATGGATATGCGGAGATTTTCGTTTAACAATCAACAAATATCTAGCAATCGATAACGATTTATTACCAACTTTCGTCGACCTAACAAATAAGATCGCGGGTGGTAAAATATTTTCAACAATAGATTTAAGAGATGCATTTTTACAATTCGGAGTTAGTCCAGGATGTAGGGACCTTTTAGTAATTTAGACACATGTCGGTTATTACCGATACCAAAGAATTCCATTTGGTTTGACAAGCGCTCCGATAATATTCCAACGCTTTATGAAAAACCTATTAAAGGGAATTCCTATGGTTAGTGTATTTTTAGACGACATAATTATTGCAGGTGAGAATAATTCCGATCACATAGTTAATTTGGAAGAAGTATTAAGAAGATTTGAGAAGGCTAGACTGACCACTACGACCGATAAAATTAAAATTGGAGAAAAGTCAGTCACTTATTTAGGTCATGTTATTGACAGTTTCGGAATTCACCCTACAAAAGATAAGATTAGCGTTATAAAAAAATTTAAAACACCTTCCAATGTTAAAGAACTACGATCATTTCTTGGAATAGTGAATTATCATGAGGCATTTATTAAAAATTTGCATTCTATTTGTGCGCCTTTACACCGACTAACGAGTAAAAATGTCGGTTGGTTTGGGTCAGCTAAAGAAAATGAAATATTTACTAAAGTTAAAAATATATTGTCAAAAGAAGATACAATAATTCCTTATTCAGCCGATATCCCTGTCGTGATTTCTTGTGACGCTTCCGAAGATGGTCTAGGAGCTGTTATTGCACACAGATTTCTTACTGGCCAGGAGAAACCGATTGCTTATGCATCGAGGACACTTTCGGCGGCTGAAAAGAATTATGCCACAATTGATCGGGAGGCTTCGGCGATCATGTTCGCTATCGAGAAGTTTCATCAATTTTTGGAAGACATTTTATCTTGATTACTGATCATAAACCATTACAATATATTTTAGGTGATAAAGGAGATCTTAACAAAATAACAAATAACCGTTTAATACGGTGGGCGACGAAGCTATTAAATTATGATTGTGAGATAATATATAGACCAGGTTATCAAAACAAATGTGCCGATGCTCTGTCCCGTTTGGGGGTAGAGAAAGCAAAAACCAATGAAGTTACAAAAAATTCGAAGAAGAAATCAGAGGATTAAAAATCAATTTAATAGAAGATTTATCGTTCACTCGTAGTAAAGTCGTAAGTGAAACGAGCAATGATATAAACCTAAAAGAGATTATTAAATTATTTAAAAATCATTGGTATATTGATAATATAAATAATTATTCGGAGATCGTAAAAAAATATATTTCGATTAAAGATAATATTTCGTTCGAAGAAGGATTATTATTTTATAATGATAGAATTATTATTCCAGATATTTTAAAAAAGGAGGTTTAAATGTGATTCATCGAGGACATCCTGGGATAGTGGGGATGAAATCATTGTGTAGATATTACGTTTTTTGGACAAATCTCGATACTGATGTTGAAGACTTTGTTAAATGTTGTAAGAGTTGTCAAGAAGGAAGGCCGGGAGCTAAAGAAGTGCCATTATACAATTGGAACATTCCTACCCGACCTTGGGAACGAATATTGATTTGACAGGCCCCATATCTGGAAAGTATTGGTTAATTTCCGTAGACGCCTTTACCAAATGGGTTGAAGTTGCAATTTTAACACTTATTAATTCGGCGAGTGTAATAAATAATCTGCGTAATTATTTCGCTAGATTTGGGTTACCTCGCTACATTGTCTCAGATAACGGTACTCAGTTTACTGGATCTGAATTTAAAACGTTTCTTTTTAAAAACAATATAAAACATTTTAGATCGGCCCCTTATAGCCCCAAATCAAATGGTTTGGCTGAACGATATATACGGACGATAAAGACGCGTTTCTATGCTGGAAGGAGATGTGGGACTCCGGACCAGTTAAATTTAGCAAATGTTTTAATTACTCACCGTATTACTCCCAATGCAACTACTGGTAAATCCCCTGCCGAGATGATGTTTGGAAGGTCGCTTAGGACGACATTAGATCAGTGGAAATTATCAACGAGAGAAAGGACGGAAAACGCTCTATGGAAACAAAAGTACTACAAAGATATAAGTGTTGAATCTCGGGAGTTTGAAGAGCAGCAAAAAGTTTGGATTGCAAACGAAAGGACAGCAGGGTGGCATGAAGGAAAAGTGTTACAACGAAAAAGCGCAATTTTGTAAGATGTGGAATCAGAGGGGATCGTTAGAAACAAGCATGCAGATCCATTGAGGGATGCACATACACAAGAGAAGGAAATACCCGTTACGTTGACCGAAGAAGTGGAAAAGGCAGAACATGAGAATACAACTCTTGAAAAAAGAGTTTCGAAACCCCACTACGTTATCACGATGAATTCTATTTATAGTGGGGAGAACTGTAATATAAATGTAATTGTAAATTGAATTTAAATTGAATATAATATTAACTTTTCGTTTGTAAATTACATAACCTGAAGGATTGAATTCATTATATATATATACGTGATATTTTGTATTAAACTTCAAACACTTACTACAAAATGTATTAAGACACCATCCATTATTTTAATTTTGAATGGATTTTAAATTAATGTCTTTATTTGATATATTTAATTATTTCTAAAACTATATTTTATTTTTTATTATTTAAATAATATAAAACTATATTTTTTAAAACTCCTTTCAATATAAAAATTTGTTTTTTATAAAGAATTATGCTATAAGGTTATTAATGTGTTGGTTAAATTGATCTAAAACAAAATAGTTAATGTAAAGTAAATTATTTAAGAAAGTGATAAAAAAAGTTAATCTTAGTTAAAAAAAATAATTTGTCGGCTGATAACCAAGCTATGATGAATAGTATAATATTTACTATAAATGCATTTTTGTAACGACAAGCTAAGATAAAGAAGGATTTAAAAAAAAATCCATATCATTGATAAAATTAACATGACGTGTTTTAGATTAAAAGATAATTATTAAGTATTTTATATTATGTTTATTGGAGATTCATTTTATATAATTATGAGTATGTATTATTATAGACTCATGATTTTATTCAAATAATAGTGTTGCTAATCATAGTTATATTCAAAAAATTAGACTAAAAATATTAGCCACTAAAATAGTCGATTAGTCGAGTAAGACTAAAATTTTATTTATTTTATATAATTTCAAAAAAGATTTAATGCTAGCCACGCACTAAAATAAATAAATTCAAAAATAAAATAAATAAAAAGCAAAATAATATAAATATATAAGCAAATCTATAAAATTAGTTGACTTGAGCAAATTGAAAATAGTTTTTTTGAAAAAAATCTTGGTATTTTTTGATTTTCAAAAGAGTAAGGATCTTAGAAGATTTTTGAATTTCGTGAAAATGTTAAACCCTTATAAGATCATCATCCAAAATTCTAAATAAATAAAAGAAGTAAAAGATTGGAATAAATTTGATTTTATATATATTTGTTGCAATGTTTAAATAATTTAATATAAATTTTTTTTTATTTAATTCTTACTTTTACCATTTATATTATAATTTAAAATTCGTAATATCGAAAGATCTATGATTTTGTTATCATATTTCCTTATTTTTTTTTTTATTCAAATTAACACCCTAAAACAATTTTATATTTAAAATTTTTTTTATTATAATGCAAGATATAATTTTATTATATGATACATACAATATTTGATATAATAAAAATAGAAATAAAAAATTCTTAAATCATTGTTTGGAGTAAATTATTTAATAAAATACATAATTAAATTAACATTTTATCTGCCGGTCACCTTAACCAACAAACTCTATTTTATTTGTCAAAATTGATAATAAAATAAAAAAAATTAGCTAAATTAATCATTTTAAAATATGAATTAAAATATTTTAAGTAACTAAATAAATAAATATTTTTTAGCTTTAGCTATTCGAAAAAATTGAGGCGGTATTAATTAGCTACTATTTTTTTATGAAAGTAACGGCGCTCTCGATTGTTACTTAATAAATATAGCGCGCGTTAAGGAATATCCAGGATTTCCCTATGTGGGGGAAACACTATTAAGAGGGTTTTGTCGCCAATAATTTTATTGGAAGCCGCTAGACCCACCTTAGTATATTGGCCATATTCTATTTTTATTAAAATAATTTTAGGTTTTCACTTATTTTTTGAAAATAGCTGTTTACTTTAAAACTCATAATTTTCGTCGTTAATTTAAAAGGTTAACTTTTCTTCCAAATCTTTTTTATGGCCATACATTGTATATAATTTTAGAGGAGAGTGGTGTAGGGGATAAATTTTATTAGTTTAAAAATATATTTACGAGAACAGACAAATTTGTAATGAGGGGGGGGTGACCCCCATTTTTGGTACACTTCTGACATGCTGCAACTAACACGACTTATTAAAACTACTTTAACAGCTGGTTCGATATAAATTAAAACCAGTATGTTATCGATATTCAGCTTAAATTCATGAATCTGAAACTTCATCTTTAATTTTAACTCGGTTCCTAGTTTGTTTAAATTAAACAAAAAGTAAAAATAAATTTTATGTAAGTTGGAAATAATAATGTTTGGAATTCTCCATCCAGTTAGCCATTCTTATTTTTCATATTTATCGATAGGAAAATACGAAATTAAAATTATAAATTTTGTTATCTTTCTAAATTAAGTCTGTTACTGATTGTAGTAATTTGTAAAATATAAATTATATCTTGAATCTTGACTTGTAAAATGTAAATTAATCATTATCGTTATTTGTATTGGAAGGATTTTTTAGTAGCCAAATTTTATTTGTTATTATAAGATTGTAAATGTTTAAAATGAGAACGAAGAAATGTAATAATTAAATTTCATTTTACAGTTTATATATTAGAAGAGAGCTCTTGTAACATTTGATTATAAAATAAAAATTGTTACAAATGTTCGCTTTATTACTTTTTTTAATGATTTATACATTTTTTACAAATTAAAATTAAATTATATAAAAAGCTAATTTAAAAAAATTAATAATCAAGGCGAAATAAAATAAAAAGAACTAGTTAAATAAGTGTTTTACAAAAGTTTACTTACAAAATAATCAAGGCGAAATAAACGAAATAAAATAAAAAGCACTAGTTAAATAAGTATTTTATATAAAATAAAATTAAGAATAATCATTATTCAACATATAATTTACTTTCTTAATGTTCTGTTATTATTTTAATCAAATTTAATTATTATTAGCTTTTTACGTTGGAATTAAATTAAAGTAATTTTTGTATTTTTATTGTTATTAAATTACTCTTTTAATTTCTTAAATGACTACTATCATATTTTTACGCCTATATTACAAAAAAATAGAGGTTATTTGCAATGGAAACATTAATTAAGTCATATTAACCATAATTTATTTATATTTTATTAGAATATATACCTTTTAAAATACAAGTCCATAACTCTTTAGGCAAATTTGAGGATCATGTTCCATAATAAACTTACTTTAATTTAATTCCAACGTAAAAAGCTAATAATAATTAAATTAGATTAGAGTAATAACAGAACATTAAGAAAGTAAAATATATAAACTTTAAAATATAATTTAATTACTACATTTCGTTTGATCTCATTTTAAAAATTTAAAATCACTATAAATTTTAACAAATAAAATTTGCGTACTAATAAATCCTTCTAATACAAATAACGATAATTTTCGTTCGACTTGTATAAATGGTCCTAAGATTTTTATTATAAGAATCATGACAAAATTCAGATAGGGCTAAATAATAGACAATAATAGATTTGGGTGTAAATATAGGGTTATTGGAAAAATTTTAAGGATACTGTCGGAATTATAATAAGTCATATGCATGTCCTATAATACAATCACATTATATTCTATAATATGCTTATATCTAAATTATCATAATAGCGATTGTGGATTTGCATGGATTTATTTGATTTAGATAAGTAATTTCATATTAAATATATAAAATTTTAATTTAAATTAAGTATTCCTCTGCCAACCGATCCTAATATACAATTGGAAGTACCTCTACCATTTGGCTCCCCTTTGCCATTGCAGGATAATACAGAAACCATAAAAAATAGTAAAATTTAATTAATGATTATAAACATTAAGATAAATCTATATTTTAAACTTAAAGTAATTTTTATATGATATGATATCTATACTTAAAAGAATCTTCTACTAGATTGTAATACAGATAAAACTAATGCCAATACAGAGAGTTGCAAAAAAGGCATAAAGAATGCATTTCAGATTGGGAAAATTACTAAATTCAGGTTTGATTCATATTTTAAACTAACCTAAATTATAATTATAGAAATCTCTCTTTTACTATTAAAAAACCAAATATCCTCCCAGCTATTGAAAAACTATCCCACACAAATAAGGCAAATGAAAAAGGTATCTATGGTGTATTAAAATGTTTACTTGAATTATATATTAAGCAGTTGATATACAGAATGGTAAAAATCTCCATGATTATTCAAATAAAAAGACTTTGTCTATCAATGCTACATTCAACAATGGTAAATTATGTATTTGTAAAAAAATTTTAAAATTGGCCAATTATAGGATATTAATTAATAAAATAGATTTAGGTTATAGAAAATCTTTTTGTCTAATTTTTTACTATGTTTATAAACTACTCTTAACTTAAAATGAATGGTACATTTATAATATGCAATGTTATATATAAATTATTATTCATGTATTCACAAATATATATCATTATAAGTGCAGAAGGTCATAATCTAAATTAAAAGGAAATTTTCTTTTAAGTCTGCAATAGGTAGATTTATGTAAATATTTAACAATAAGTTGGGTAACACTTACATAGTTTGGAATATTTTACAAGCCTGGGTATTATTTTTATTTCAAAATTTGACATCATTTTGTAAATTTTATTTTAAAAAATTAAAATTTTCAAACAAAGGAACTAAAACAGACCTTTCAGTTTTACTGCTATGTGGAAAGTCTTTCATTCATATCAAATTTTTTTAGTGTAATTATCCTTAACTTTTAAAACGATATTATTATATAATTGGTTTCCTTTATCATATTTACATAACTTTACCAAAAAAAAGAATGCTACCTATACTGATAACAGTGGTGTTGCTAGGGGGGGGGGCAGGGACTTGAGGCCCCTGAAAAATTTGAATAGCCCTTTAGAGAAAAATTATGAATATAATCATTTATTAATTGAAAATTTTCAAATTTAATATTGTAATTAGCCAAGTTCAAATCACTAATCAACTACATTATTGATTTTTAAATTTAATTAGTCTCTTCCTAAAATTATTTTCAAGTTTCAAATGCCAGAGTATAAGATATTTATTTATAAAAAGTAAGTAGATATACAGTTTATAATCCTTTATAATTATTAATAATATTAGGTAAAATACCTTTTTTACAGACGTATTTGACAGTTATATAATATTAGTTATTAATTTTAAAATTTTAATAATAAATGGTTTTGATAATAAATATAAGTTATTTGCATTTAATTATTTAACGCCATCTATTTATTAAATATATTAAAATTAAACTTCTTATTATTCATTCCACAATGGATGTAATAAATGAGATATCTTTTCTTCTCTTTTTTACTTTTTTTAGGAAAGCCATTTTTTTCTTTGAAAAACAGTTTTGAGTTAAATTTTTAATACATATATTTTTGATATTATTACAATCTACTAATATTTTAAGATATAAATACCAACTTAAGGTGGTGCTACAATAATATATAAAATCTTGATTACTTTCAACATATCACTCTGGTTCTTATTTTATAGTAAAATGTTTCATTTCCAATATGACATCCTTGCCGTGTAGATAACTCAAGACTTCAATATATTTGCATAATTTTTACTGTTGTTGTTTTATAAATTTATTTAGCATAATAAATTCTGATATGGGTTACCATCGTGAGTGTCATGGCTATGACTGCCAATTAACCAGCATCTATTATTTGTGTGCTATGTAATTTAAGATTATTACTATAGCTGTTGAGAGCATATGATTTCATATTTTAGATAAGCAATAATGGTCAACTGTGTAGTCGTTTATACATCATTAAAAAGGAAGATAATCTTTTAGAAATTTAATATCTCACAAAAATTTTCTCGATTACTTAGCTTCCATCATGTCATCTAAGAGGAAGCTCTAGCCACCATATAGTTTTATAATTTGGATTGGTCGTTTATATTCTCTTCTTCAAGAATTGTTGATTTGGTAAGCCTATAAATTTTTCCTTATTAGTCCATTCTATAAAACATTGTCTAAAATGGTAATAGAGAGTTATATTAGTTTCATGACCTTTTGTCAATATAACTTGCTAAGAATTATATAGCCTTATGTGGTTTTTAAAAACCATTATCAATTGAGGCATATGTATGAATTAATTATTTTTTTTATCACTTGTAATTCATTACACAAATTTTTTTTATGTGAAAATATTTTACTGTAATAAATAGATTTTGTATTAAAAAATATTATTTTTAGAAATGTATTGTATTGTTTTAATTATTTATATGCTAGTTTGTTTTGCATGCAAAATATTATAAATGACAAAATATGAAATTCAGAATAATTGTCTAGAGTTAGCATATTTTAAAAATGTGTAATATATTTATATAAAACCTGGCCCATTAATTTTTTTTAGCTGAGCCCCTTGAGATTGTAAAAACTAGCGACGCCCCTCTAAGTGTCTAAACTTTGCTTTTGACAGACGTATCAATGCTGCCTTTTATTATACTACATTCCTCGAAAATTTAATCTTCAATTTTTTTTGTTGTTTCAAATTTTTGAATACTACAGTCATCTTAAATATAATCTCTCTATTTTGTTGTAATTTTTTCACTATCACAATAATTTTATATAGAGTTGTACCGACCCACACAATTTTTACTAATCTGATCTGATCCAATATTTCCCGATATTACTTAAAAAATTAATCATCTTATTTTGAAATATTTGTAATATTTATGAATGAATGTAATGTTAAACTACTCCCTTTAGTAGATTTCTAAAAAGAGATTAATCAAGATTTTAGCCAAAATATTACTTACCCTCTTGAGTTAACTATTTTGTATTTTGATAAATTGAGTCGTTTAACAACATTACCTTAATGTGATACTAGATATTTTAAAATCAATATTTTGTTGCAGCTAATATAACAAAAAATGATGTAAAAAATTTTAACTATTTTTACCATTATCAACAAATATATTGTATTTTTGTTCATTTCAATTAATGTTATGAAATTATTTATAAAATAAATAAAAAATTAATATACACAAATTATAAAATAACCCAATATGAGAAAAATAGTAAAAGAATAATAGAAAATAAAAATTGAAGCTCATAATATCATCGAAATATTAATTTTAAATTTTCAAATGGAACGCAAGATGACCTATATTTAAAAAAAATATATATATAATTAATTTTGACCCCCCCCCCCCCCCATATTAATTATTGTCTTAGTTATTAATGTAAATTTGGTATTTGAACGAATTTAGTTTTTAATTTTAAATTAATTATTTAACATCAATTAAAGGGTGGAAAAGCGAATTTGGACCTTTAATCCCTATTATCTCGAGTAATATAATTGCTAGCTAAAAGATATTAATTACGAGAACTAGTGTTGTTAAACGGCTCAATTTTAGCCGATTTTCAAAAAGAGTTAACTCAAATATTTTATCCATAAAAATATTATGCGAGCCTAAAAATTTTGCTCATAGATGGCACATAGCATTGAATATCTATTGGCAAAATCTCGACGCTTAGGCAATATTTTCCTGCTATAATGTTGAGTTAGCCTTTTTTTTAAATCGGCTCAAATCGAGCCGTTTAACAACACTAAAAACATATATAACATGCCTACCAAATTTTATCGAAATGTTTTCTTGCTTATTCACGTGGTACGTTTGATTATACTCATTTTCATTATTTTTACAGCCAAAATTTAGCCACTTTTCCCCTCCCCCCTCCAGTTATTTTATTTGCTTTTTTTTTCAATTGCGATTAAAGTAACCTTTGCTTTTAATTTTTTTTTATTAGTAACCGCAGAAATCCCTAAACTTATCCCAAATTCGGAAGCTACAAAGGCGTCCAAAATTGACAAGACGAATCCTGAAGAATTACTGGTAGCTCAACAGCGAAAGCGTAAAAGTAGATGGGGAGAGAATGCTCCAGTTAAAAATGCCATCTTGATCCCAGTTGTGCAAACACCTTACACGAATTATAATGGTAAGAATAACTCGATTAAACTTGTTAAAATTTGGAAAATTACTTTTGATATCAAAATATATGAAGCCAGAAGAGAAAAAATTCTTTGGTTATATTTATAGTTTGGTAATAACTAATTTATATTTGATCTACAGGATGTGCCATAAAATAAATCAGTTAAGCAATCTCTAAAGTTAAGATGTCTGTAAAAATTAGGGTAAAGTAGTAACTTAAGATGGAGCCTTTAACTATAGTCATATTATGATATGCCCAGAATTGGAGTTAATCAACTTTAGAGCAGGGATCTGAACCGAAACTCAGGCTCAGGCTTAGATATAAATGAGGGTTCGGTTCTTACAAAATAAGCATATCTGGTTTGGTTCAAACCCCCTTTAGAACCGGGTTGAACTCTTTTATGCACACTTTAGTATTATATATAGAGCAAAGCAATACTTTTTTTATGTATTTCATCATTAATACAAATATATAAAACGTTTATTTTATTATTAACTGCGCTTTATATAAACAATATCTAATTTATAGATTAGATAACAAATAAAACATCATTTATTAACTGCAATATTGAAAACAATTTACTTAAACACCTTAAAATGTACAGTTGTAGTATTTTTAAACGGCTCGATTTTTAAAAAACCGTTAACCCAATATTTTAGTCAAAAAATCTTATATGTCCAAAATTTTCCGCAATTTATTAGCAAAATCTCAAGACTTTTATCGAGCAATTTAACAACATTATACAGTTAAAAAATTTCTAGATTCACTTCAATCAAATTACATCTATATATAAAAAGCATAAATTTTATTGTTTAAAGAACATCTCTCTTCGCTAACATGAGTCGTCGACATTGTATAAAATTATATAATTTTTATAATTAGGGGATTCAATTTCTCTGATTTTGCCCAATTTTAGACATTCATTAATTAACTTCCAATGTTCTTTGATCGTTTTGAAAGTTTTATTTATACAATCTAATTTTGAGGTAGGGTCCATATGCTGATTCATTTTCAATAGAATCATCCCTTATAACAATTTAATTTCATGTTCATTTAGATGTAGTTTATAATTATATACATAAAAAATTTTCATACTGGATTTATATTTATCCCTAATCAATAAGTGTTTTTGAAATTTTAATATAAAAAAAAGGAAGTTAAAAAATGTTATAAAATAGCAATATAAAAAAAATTTAAATTGTGACTGAATCGTATCAATCAAAATTGATTCACAATAATTTTTTAAACAATTCTGATATATCAGAATTTTTAGCTATATGCCAATAATAACTTTCACATTATTTTATAAGCATAAGGTTTCAAACCGAACGTGCATTTTTAGCTGTTCAGATTCGGATAAAAAATAACAGGTCCAAGGTTGGATTCAGATCCCTGCATTAAAATTTAAAAGCTTTCATTATTGAACATAATGGAAACAAAAAGTCGCTTATGACTTTATTTTTTTATTTTAAATTGATATTTTGTTAACAAATATATTGACTTTTGAATTTATTCAAATTCCATTAATATCATATTCAAAGTGTACTTGAATGCAAAAAAATTTATATATATATAAATTGTAAAGATTGTCATCTATCTGAAGAGTTTATCGAGTTTAAATTGAAATGCCCCTTTAAATATTGTGAATTTAGTCATTACTCATTAGTTTAAAATAATTAAAAAGTATAATGACATTTAGAATGAAATTTATTGGTTAATGAATTAAACATTTAATTCGATAAATTTGTGGATGAGTATCTTATGTCCTATTAGATACAAATTTAATCTCATGATACTTATAATATGTTTTTTTAAATAAAAAAAAAGATTGATTGGGCCTCGCCGTTAGAGTATTTGTTAGTGTTGTTAAAAAGCCCAATTTGGATCGATTTTTAAAAACGGTGCCAGATTAAGATTGTAATCAAAATAATGTTATGCAAGCCTTGAGATTTTGCTCATGCAGGAAGGCTTGAACATCTATTTGCTAAATCTTGAGGCTTATATAGTATTATTTTGGATGAGACCTGCAGAGGTATCATTTGTATGGCCAGACCCGGATATTTTTTTTAAAAAAAATACCGGCCTGATCTTTGCCGGGCCTGCTGGGCTCTGATATATTTAGAGCCATTTTTTCCAATACTTTGGCCAGAAAAATATTGCACGAGCCTCGAGATTTTGTTAATAGATGTACAAACCTAAAAAATGTTTTTCTTTTCCCGTAGCTAAGGTTCCTTCCATGATACCCTTTAATGCCAACGACATGATACCTCTTCCGCCTAACAACGTCAACTCAATTCCTATCCCCTTGGTGACGCCGATTAAAACGTTTAACAATGATTTAGCTTTGCAAAATTCCATGTCGGATGAACAGAGAGCAATCTTCGAAGAAGCCCAAAAGGTTAATTCAAAAGGAAACAAAAATTTTTTTATCATTCCTGACGGGGAATTTAAAAGGAATAAAATTGTCAAAATTAAGAAGCATTTATAGCATCATTCCACTAGGGAAGATGATTTTTTTATCGATTGTATCGGCCCTTTATCCTTCAGTAACGTTATCGGTAACGGCAAATAAATGGTATCGACGCATCTCCGACTCCTGTTCTATCATTTAATTCTTAGTTTTCACGAGAGTTCGGAATCCTTGGAACCGGTACAAATCTAGAAATCATAATCTGGAATCACTCATAAAATTTATGGGGACCGGAACTGGTATATAATATCGCGTGGTTCATTTTTAGAAGGTTTTAGGAACCGGAAATATAACTTTTTTGAGTTTAGGCTGCATTCGTAGTGGGATATCTGACACGATTTAACAGCTGATCGACTTTTAAATTCTGTTTTTAGAGATGAATTTTTTTTATTATTAAAATCAATAAATTTGGGATCAAAGATCAAATTGGTCAGCTGTCAAATCGTGCCGGATCGGATCCCACTATGAATTCAACCCTAGATATTTGACATTATTTTCGATTATCTCTTTTAGAATCAATGTTGGAATATTTTTGCCTTTATTTATATATAAATCCCTAGTCATTTATAATTCATATAAAAAAATGTATGGGAAATCTGATATACATTTTGTTAAATTCTAAAATTCATGGCAAAATTGTCTGAAATTTATAGGGTAGGTATTCCAAACATGATGAAATACATTTCCGGTAAAATAAGATTTTTAAATCTTATTAAAACGCGCCAAAAAATGATTTAAAGTTGAAATTATAACACATTGCCGGAAAAAAAGGACATTGACGCTAACATATATACATACAAAATAAAATTAGAATAATATAAAATAATAATACAAGGTTTCTATATACGCAAATATAGATTTCAAAATTAGTAATGCGAATGTATGATATTTAATTCATAATACTATTTAATGACCAAAATATATAATTGAACAATATTTTAATTTAATAATATTTTTAGTATATAACCAATATAATATAAAAAATTTTTTTTTTAATAATGATTTCGAGGAATAAAACAATCCAACTTATTGTAGCACGAAAAAAAAAATACCTATTACAAGCAAATAAAATTTAAGTAATAACATTTTGTTTAATTTAGAGATGAAGGAAATATTTTTTTATAACTATACTAATCAATCCTCATGAAAAATAATATCTCAAATTTTTAATCTTACATATTTTTGCTGGAATTTTTTCATGATCACAATCATTATATCTCCACTCACTTTGTTAAAAAAAATACGCTTTTAATGCATTGTTGTTAAACGGCTCGATTTGAGCCCATTCATAAAAACGGCTAGCTCAATATTTTAGCCAGAAAAATATTGCCTCGAGATTTCGCTAATAGATGCCCAAACCTTTGTTCCATCTATGATCAACTAAATCTTCAGGCTCGCTAAATGCTTTTCTGAATAATTGATTAAGCTAGCCATATTTAAAGATCGTCTCAAATTCGAGCTTTTCGACAGCACTTAATTTAATGGAATTTCGTTAAAATAATTTTTAATCGTTTTAATTTTTTTCTCTTTTTTTCCGTTTTTTATATTGGAAATTTAAAAAAAACCAGTTTTTTTGTTTGTTGTTTTTTTAAAATTCCTAGTCAAACTACTCCCAGTAAGCAATAATTTATTAAGTTGCAACTCCTCTCGATTGGATTAGTGAGTGACATGTAATATTTGCCTAGAGATGATTCCTTCATTAAAATGAATTTTGAAAGGTAGTTGGTGAAATTTTTTTGATATAAATTGTTTTTGCGGGTAACCAAAATGACGTGTAACCAGCTGGTTTGTATTAATACTCATTCAAATGAATGTATCGTCAATTTAGCTAATCCATGATTACTGTTATGAGAAGTTATAAGTAATTTAATCAGCTGTGAACTGGGTTAATCACATTTAAGATTATATATATATATATATATAAATCAATCAACTGAGTTACCTTCATTTGCGAATGCACGAGTACTCCTGCACAAATTATCAAAATTCTACTAACAAATTAATTCGTACATTTTCTAAAACAATTTTTCATATTTGTGAGTTAAATTAATGACAACGGTTTAATAATATAAGGTTCTAACTTCACTTTTGTTCAGAATCGAGTTAGGGCTAGGATCAAAACTCGTAATTAATTTGATAATGGGTTTTTTTAAATCTAATAAAATATATTTTTTTTTAATAAAAAACTGATTTGAAAACATTTTAGATGAGAGCCCTTTGCTCTTACATCATAGCCAAAGCCAAGATCAGTCAGCATTACGAAAAAACGGGAAAAGTTAAATATGAATACGATTCCGACGAAGACATCACCGATGGTACTTGGGAACACAAACGGCGGAAAGCCGAAATGGAAAGGACCAAAGGTTCGTTTTTAGTTAAGCGACGGTTCGCGGTTCGGTCCCCACTGCTTTGGACCGAATTTGAACATTATTTTTTTGCTAAATCTGGGACTAACCCAGCTTCATTACCTTCGATTGATTTTTGGAATTGATCCTTTTGTCCAATTGATTTAACTCTTTAAAAATTTTAATAAAAATGGCCACTATCTTTTTTTTATTAAGAATAATCAAAAACCCAGAAGACGACCTAAAAGTTGACCCAAATCATTCATACCCCCTGCCCCCCGTATTAATAGGCACCCACTAAATTTTTTATTTCCGATGATAAGTCAGGCGGTGGCCCACAGGTCATACCTATAAAAGTTTTTTTTAAAGCTTAGAAAATACAATTTTCGTGAATTAATTTCTTTTATGATTAATTTGTTTAAAATATTTTTCCACTTTAGAAATTTCTGCCCTTTTGACTGACATGGGACGGGATAAACATCACGTGGGCGACTTTTTACCTCCCGAGGAACTAGAAAGATTTCTTTACACTTACGAATCCATAAAACAAGCCGACGCCGAATCAAATAATATCCAACCGATTGATAATGGCCTTCAGACCAACGTCGAACAGGATAAAATTGATGAAATTAAAGGTTTGGATTCAACTGAAGCTCAAGAAGAAAAAGGTGATATGCCGGATTTATCAGCCCCAGACATCAATGTTCAGATGACAGAGACTATTCAAGACTCTGCTGTAGAAGTTAGTTGTGTGGAACAGGAGAAAGCAAATATTGATGTCTCTTTTAATAATTCAACAGAACCAGCTCCAATGTTAGAATTGACGGAGATGAATGACACAGCTCAAGGTCAAGTAGTTGTTAGTGATATAGTGCTACCTCCCATTATCGCAACCCCAAATGCGTTAGATATCGAGGCGAGGAGAAAGAAAAGATTGGCCAAATTTTCTGAATACAGTAATTGCAAAATTAATTCAGATAACATAGGTTATCGTATACTCATGAAAATGGGCTGGGACGAAGAACACGGCTTAGGGCTAGAAAGCCAGGGCATAACTGAACCGGTCAACAAGTTTGCACCTTAATTTTTTTTAATTTCCTTTTCATTTATTTATAAAAACTACTTTTAATTTTTTGATAACTTCTTATTTTATTTCTTGGGCTATGTACAAACTTGATTACATATTTTTTAAAGAGTAAATTATCAAAAATTTTTGCCAGTTAAAAAATATTTTTGAAAAATGTTAATTAATATAGGACACTCTATCTTAATGCATTAGGAAAAACAAAAAAATTAAGTTTGATAGCTTAAAATAATTTATATGTTCGTTCAGAGCAACCGTTTTGCCTGATAGAATGGGGCTTGGTACCTTGAGTCAAAAGGGTCTCTCCAATGATTTGCAAGAAGGGGATGATGAATTCGACGCTTACAGGAAACGTATGATGCTGGCTTATCGATTCAGGCCCAATCCATTAGTTTAAAAAAAAATAATATTTCTATATTTTAAATTGATATCACTGTCAGACATATGAAGAGACAGGAGAAATCTATGCAAGTTTTTAAATCGTATATAAACTTATTAGAGTTTGATATTGGTTCAAACTCAAATATCTTCAAAATTTTTTTTTATATTTTAATGAAATTCCGCAGGAGCACATTTATCTTCAAAGATTTTTGCTAAAAAAAATTTGGCGAAAAGGAATATTCAGCAAAGTTGGGCAGTACTGAGCATACAAGATCCTATTGTATCTTGTACTTTTTGAAATTTTTAATAAGATACTTATATATCTAAGATACCTAAGTTTCCAAATAGTCTCGTTTCTTTTTCATTTCTTTGTCAATAGACAGATGATTTATATATTATTTTTTTCTTGGATTCTTTCATCGATTTGGTTTTCTTTCTTTCCTAATCTTTATATTTTAAGAATTAGTTATTTATTTTTACACGCCAATTTTATTGTATGTAAATTAGATTTAGCAATATTAATGTTAATCATTTTATAAGTTTTGGCAGATGTATGTTATATTCTTTGTAAAATGGATATTTAAACATGTTTAACCTTGCATTTACAGTTGCGAATTCGCTGTCAATTCCGGGTAAGGTTAAATTCATAATTTAACACGAATCACATATGTATACGATGCGAAAACTACAAAATATGTTAAGATGCATTCATAGTAATATTTCGCTAAGCTATGTGATTTGATATACGGATCCATCTCTTTTTTTTCCTAGCATAAAAGAATAAAATATAAATCGATTTGTATTTTTCAATGCAAATGGCCGACAAAAAATGCTCGTAGGCTGATTTTATGGATTAAGACAATAATTTGAGTCAATAGCTAATAATTTACTTCTTCAATAATATCTAATAACAATTTCAATATAAAAAAAATGAACACACTTAATAAATTTCGTCGCAAATATGTGCACTGTGACAAAATCTACAGTCTCCATACAGCTACAAGTATAATATATTTCTAAAATTTTTAATATTTTTTAGCCAACCTTAAAAATCATATTAAAATATCCCACCCAGAATTGATTTGTTAAACTAAAGAAATAATTCCCAAACATTTATTGGGTATAAGAAAAGTCAGGGTTGTGCATTTGACCAGTCAAATAAGATTCGGTCAATTGATTCATCTTTGACCGGTCAAGTATGGTCAAAGTCAAATATATGTTTATTAGGGCAATATTATATTTTATATATAATAGTAAAAAATGTATGTATATTAATTATTTTCGAAATTAATGTTTCGCTCTCCATGGCAGAACCTTGTTCTAATTCATAATCACTCTTAACATTTTTCAATCAATCTTAGGTTATGATATACTCCTACCAATTTTCTGTTTGTTGAGATTCGGATTTCTTAGACACTTCTTTTAATATTCAAGTTAAACAAAGCCCATTCCAACAACTTGAGCCCGAAATCTGATTGTTTTTTATGAAAGTTACTGGATTCCACGTATTTTGGCTATTAAATACGCCGCTTTTACTTCTAAAATTTATGATATCACTTAAAATATTTTGATGATCATCTCTTTATGAAACGACTAATTTTTGTATTATGTCATATGCTTCGTCAAACTCAAGTAAGATGATCCCCTTATATTGGGGTTCAATAATCAGCAGTGCAGTGTGAGCACATGTATTTGTATTGTTTTCTTTTTCAAACTTATCTTTAATATTTTTTTCTTTAGGTTGGTAAGTTATAAAATCATGGACATGATTGTATTATGTGCTTTCTAAATTAAGCATCTCGTTTTTACGTGAACCAAGGTCATTAAGATCGCTTAATGTTTTTATGAATAGTTTAAAATTTTAAATTTTTTGTCCAAAATATCATTTAATATATTATTGGTAATTTCTCTCGGACAAATATCCAACTTCTTCCACAGCTGCTTTCAGAGCTTTCCAAATTTATATTTGCTCATTACATTTTATTGACGATGCCCATCTTCTTTGGATAATTGTATATAATGTAATATAAATTGGAAATTAGTAATTTTCTCAAACCTGCTTAAGCAAAATTATTTTATTTATATATATATTTAGATCCAATAAATTTAATAATGAGAAAAATTCTTAATATTTTAATATAAAAATTTGGTATTTATGTATAAAATTATAATTAAATCGATGCCTTAATGATACAAATATATTTTAAAATAATTTTTAAATAAATTAGATTGACAAATATGCTTTAAATACATATTAGTTCATTAAATATTCATCAATAACATTTTAGAGTTGACCAGGTCAAATACTCCTTCTATTAAATGACCGAATTTGACCTGTCAATTGACCAACTTGCCAACCCTGAGAAAACACATTTAAAAAACTCATAATCAGATATGTGATTAAAAATAATTTACCTTTCAAACAATTTGACTATTTCAAGGATATATTTGCCTTTATATTTACAAAGGAAAAAAATATATGGACAAGACAAACTGTTAAAAAATACTTGCATTCTATTTATGAAGCATCGAAATTAAAACTTGTCGCAAAATTAAAAAAGGTACATAAGGAAAATATCCCTTTCCACGGATATTTGGGCAAGAAACAACTCCTTGTCTTATTGTTCGATTACTATACGTTATATAAGAAATAAGTGGAAAATAAAAAATTACCTTCTAGATTTAATTGAACTACCTCACCCGCACAGTGAACAATAGTCAATTATTTATTAAAGTCTCTTGAAACATTCGAGATTCAAAATTAAATGTTATAGAAAATGCTAAAAATATCATAAGTGCTGCAGATATAATGACCAATCATTATATGGAAAAATACAATATGCCCTTCTGTAGTCATAGATGTCTACCTCATGTTATTAATATAATCGTTAAAGAAGGGCTAATTATTTCTGAGTCAAAATTAGAAAAAATACACAAATTGGTGAAGACAATTCACCTCTCGCCCAATTTATGCAAAATTATATCTATTACACTTATGATATTTTTAGCATTATCAAGTGTAAGCGCTATAACATTTTTTCAAATGTTTCAAGAGATTTTAATAAATAATTGGTTATATCTTGTCTACTGGGTGAGGCAGTTCTATTAAATCAAGAAGGTAATTTTTTATTTTCCAATTATTTGTTATATAATGTACAGTAATCGAACAATAAGACAAGGAGTTGATTTCTGTCCAAACATCCGTGGAAAGGAATATTTTGTTATGTACCTATGCTTCATAAATAGAATGCAAGTATATTTTCAGCAGTTTGTGTTGTCCTTATTTTATAAAGGCAAATTTATCCTTGAATTCAAATGGAATCAAATTGGTTGAAAGGTAAATTATTTTTAATCACATATCTGAGTATGAGTTTATTTAAATGTTAGTTTCCCTCTGGTTGTAATTTTCTTATTCCCAATAAATGTTTGGACATTATTTCTTTAGTTTGGCAAATCAATTCCGGGTGAGATATTTTAATATGATTTTTAAGGTTGGATAAAAAAAATATCAAAAATAGATTTTAGATAAATATTATACTTGTAGCCGTATGGAGACTGTGGATTTTGTCACAGTGCACATATATGCGCCGATATGTATTAAGTTTGTTGGAACATATTTTTTATATTGAAATTGTTATTAGATATTATTGAAGAAGTAAATGAGGTATTAGCTATTGATGAGGTAAAAGAGCTTTGACTCAAATTATTGTCTTGATCCATAAGATCCGCCTACAATTTATGATTACATTTTTAGTAATTACTTCGGAATCTATATTCGTCTCATAGTTATTGATATTATATATGTAAGGAAAGGTGTTAGGTAAAAAAAATTTCATTCAAATAAAATAATAAATCTCTTGAAATAATAAATTTCTACTCTTAATTTGTTAACACCTAGCTAGCACCTAATTAAGGAGGTGGAAGGGGGTGGGAATAATTTTAATTTTGGATTACATACAAATTCAATATATTTTTTTTATATTTAATTATTGTTTTTATAGTTATATATATAATAATGACACCAAGAAAAATATTTTTTTATATATAAATATTAAAATGTAATATAGAAAAGAAAAGAAATGTATAATAATAGAAAAAAAATATGGTGCATAGTCAAAATAATTATATTTTTTTTTAATATGCCCAGGCGTTTGTTTAAAAATTGGAATATAAATTAATTTCCTTTTTGGGACAACCTGAGGAAAGTATAATAATTTGTAGAATTGATTCTTTTTTCTATTGTCATCAAAAGATATAATCGTGCAAGATATTACAAGAATGTTCTCAGAAAATCGGTTTTCGATTAAGTTCATGTTATCAAAATTTACGCTAAATAGAGTTTAAAATTCCTTGAACCCGAGGTCCAGATCCCAAATTTGGCAATCTAGCAGATATTTTTCTCTTAATATTGTACAAAAGTTAAGAGTAAAATGTTAAGATCTAGACCTGTCCATTTAGAGTCATGCGATGTCCAAGAGAATATTTTTATGAGTAACCATATTTATTTTTTACCCCCGCCCCCAGGTCAAACTTATATACACCATATTAAGGTAGAACTAGACTTATTATATACCCATCCATTATCAATATTTGGTGCTGATTAAATTATTCTTGACCCCCGTATTAATAGCTTCGCTTGGGTTGATACCTTTAACAACCATATATTTATATAGCTTAATAAGGTCAAAAAACATCTTAAAATATATTGGTCTGTGCTTGGGGTTCGTGCTCATAGCTAATTTAGTCGATTTTTATACGCAAGTCCCGGGTCTGGGTTTTATGCAAACCAAATAACAAGAAATTTAAGTTAACATTAAAGTTCAACTCAAGTTTTAAAAATGAGTCGACTAATCGACCCAAACTAGATTCGAGTTTTGAGTTGAATTATTGCTACTCCTAGTCGGAATCAGGAGAACTCGACTATTTAACAACACTAATGATTATTATGTCACTATCTAAGATACATTTTTTCATAAAGAATCTGTTTCTAGATCCCTTTTTAAAGGACCTGCCCCAACTTTGATCTTTGGAGTTCAGAAGATTTTTTTATTATATCCTGTTTCTGACCTTTCCGTTGAAGCAAGCAACGACATTATTATTTTTGACGATAATGAAAGACTTTAATTTTTTTATTTTAAATTAATTTTTATAATTTTTTTTTAAAAAAAAATTCAAGAATAACCCAAGAAGAGCTTATTATTGAAAGAAAGAAGATAAAGAACACGTGATATGCAGACGATATTAAGATTTTAATTTTATATTATTTTTTTCTTAAGATGTTTTATATCATAAGGCTTCATTTATGAGTAAGAGGGAAATACCGCGATGTCGCTTAAACGATGCGTAATTTACTAAATTATATAGCTATGATAGTCGTTTAGCGGTGGATTACTTACCGGCTTTAGCGATATAGCGGTATTTCGCACTTACTATAAACGAGGCCCTAAAACTATGTGTTTTTTTTTAATTTATAATTTATTTTTTCTTTATGGTAATAATTTTTGTATTATATATGGATTTATTTATAATAAATATCAAATTATATCTTTCTCATAGTTTCCGTTACATGATTATTGCAAGCAAAGTAAACCTTCGATTATTAGTGTAAAATCGCTCTTGAGCCCATTTTTAATTACGGATAACTCAGTATATTATACTCGCTAAAATATTGAGTTAGACATTTTTAAAAATCGGCTCACAAATGAAGCGTTTTTGCATAACTACTTTCGATCATAAATATTAAAAAAAATTAACTTTTCGATTCAGAATCTGGTACTATTCCTCTCAAAATGGCTTCTTCTATTTCGAAGAAGTTTAGAATTATGTGGGCTGATTGTAGAGGTCAACGGGGGCTGACCAAAACTAACCGTTAAAATAATTATCATGTTTTTTTGGGGCCAACTCTTAAAACATATCTTATGCCGCCCGGCCAAGCCCGTAGAAATTTTTTTATGAAGGTTAACGACGTACGTTTTCTGATTACAACATTTAAAAAAAATTATTCAAAACCTCCAGCTGGCACATAAAAATATTTAGCACAATTTGCCCGGCCCAATTCAGAAATCTTTTTGCCATATCCGCGAGTCGGTAGGCCGTCTTATATTTTTCCCAATTATTTTATAATCAAATATATCTTTTTTGTATCAGGGTCTAACAAGAGAGGCACGAATCAGTTTAACTAAAATCGGGGAAAGGGGTAATATTTTAATCAAAGAGCAATAGCAGTATCCATTTTATAATTGAATTATTTTTAAGTCATCAGGAATTTTGATTAGGGAAATCTTAAAGGCGCTGATTTGTTTTTTTTAAAAAAACTCAATATTTGTTTTTTTTTGTTGAATAATTTTGAAAAGGAAAATTTCATATACTTATAACTTATTTCACAATTGTCGCAAGCAGGGTAAAGCAATTGCTACTAAAATATATTTCCAGATTGTCACAACGTGGGAACCTAAAAAATTTAAGATTGTAACATATATAAAACTTAAACTTTGTGTGATTCTTTATTGCAATCAAATAAACCATTTGTACAAATAATATCAACCATCTATATCCGATAACAACATTATAATAATACAATCATAAACATCGTCATCCCATTCTATAATCCCCAGCAATCATTCTCGAACTTCCCTCCATCTCCAAAACGACATGAGGCGGATTCATTATTCTTGTCTGTCAATCCCCGTATTCGGTAGCTAATCACTACAAGGATTATAACTTAGAAAACTTTTATTAAGGTATATTTCCAGACTGTCACAGCGTGGGATCCTAAATAATTATAGGATCTTATTAATTCACACTTGTTTTTTTTATATCTTAGACAACTAAAATTTTCCAAACTCACAACGTGGTAACTTAACAAATTATTGGATCTATTAATTCACTCCTTCAAACCTATTACTTAAACAGTCATTCTTTACTCGCAAATGTTATAAAATATTTTTCTTTACTTTTATGTATTCGATTAAAAAATAATACATTCTTTTAAATCCAATAATATCACTGGATCATTCCGCAGAGCCATGCCCGAGCTTCCTAGAAGAGGTCTAATCTCCTCGACTTCAGTCAGACCGGACTCATACTTGTTGTTTCTAGAGTTCTACACATCGACCCCAAAAATGATTTGTTAAGATGAACCAAATATAAATCATTTATCCCGAACAGGATTGACCTCAATTATAAATTATTTGTCCCTTTACCGATCAGCCCGAATATTTGGACATAAGCGCAATCATCGTATTATTTTTATTACCCTTTTCTCATTGGCTAATAATACTTGATTTATAATGAGATTCGTAAATAGACAGCTTCGCCTATGAATTTAGTAATATTATTGCAATGTAAAATATAAATAATTTACAATAAATCACTGACTGCATTAGGTAATGTTAATCACGTGATATTTTTACCTTTTTAATCTGAAATTAACCTTTTAATGAAGGAAAAAATTACCCCATTGCACTAGTTGAGTCGCTATACTTTGAAACAGGTAAAAACAATATTATATAATAAATAATGCAAAGTATTTTCTCTATTTTAATATTTTTAAAAAAACTCTGTCCTTTTTCTAATGCGATTACTCCAATGGGCATAAAAACTATAATATTCAGGATCGATAAAAATAAATAATTTTCCCACCAGTCGGATTATCGTTTTTTTAAAAGGTTCGATCCTAAAACATTTTTATACGATTTTTGGAAAATGGAAAATTGCTCTGTTTCTAAATATACATTTTTTTAAAGGGTCCATCAAAAATTTAAAAAAATGAGTTTCTAGTAGCCGCCTACCACCGCCCATTTAAGTGGCCGGGTTAAAAATTTTTAAAGCACGGGCTGGGTTAACTCAGCTGTTTGTGAAAGGGACTTTTCTTAATTGAAACTTAATTATTTACTGTCAGATTTCATGACTTTACGAAGACACGGTAAGGAAAATTCTTTGCCTTAAAAATGGGCTCAACATTATGAATAATTAAATTAATAATATGGGTTTGAGTATGGATAATAAAATGTATCGCATATTCTTTATTCAGACCCGTGCAAACGGAGAAGCGAGCGTGGAGCAAGAGCGCTGAGCCGTCAAAGACTATTTTAAGGGACACCAAATTTTATATGTTATATGGATTTAAATTTGAATTGTATTTTTCCAAAAAGAGGTATGAATATTCAATATATTATGGTGAGTGTGGATATTATTTAATTCAGAAATTAATTACAAATTTTTTTTTACATTGAAAATATTACTTAAACTATTTATTCAATTATTCCATTTTACAAATAATTATCCTATGAGAGTTTTTATAGGGCCGCCAAATTTATTTTTTTTTCCCCTGGGTCCTTCTCGTCATCAGATTATTTGATTTTTTTAAAGGAAAATTAACCTCAAAAATTAGATATACAATGAAGAAAAAAATTTCTCTCAACAATATCCTCGGATGAATTATTTTATATTTTAGAAAACCGAATAATAGGAATCGAATACCAAATAGTAAATTTTATTATTCGTATATTCGTTTTTGAATTTTTTTCCTCTCTAAAACTACGAAAAAAAAATAAAATATCCGTAATTACAACTCTCTAACAATGAGCTCACCCATGTTCCACCATCCCATACTTCCTCTGTAATTCACAAGTAGACTGGAAGACAGAGATCCGCCAAACCCGCCCCGGTTAACGTTTGAAATATTTTTTTATATGAACCGGGCCAAAAAATTAACAGCCTAGGGTCGGGTAAAAAAATCATTTTTTATATATATTTTGATGAATTCTGATATTTCATAGAAGTGATAATCCATAAAGTATAGTATTTTTAATTTAACCACTTCCTGAATATTATAAAAATTTATTTATTTTTTGGTGTTCACCAACATATTTCTTTCTTGGCTTTATATTTATATTAAAAACAAATTTAAACCGAACCGGGTAAACTTAGTGAAAAATTAAAATCGAGCAAGGTTGTATAGTTAAAATTTTAATTTGGTTAAAAAAATATTCCTGAGAAATATGAATGGTAATACTCTAAAATTGTTTTAGTTAATGGTAAATATAAGTGTCTTATTATTGGATAAAACGCATTAGGGTGAAGGAAACCGACAAACTTAAGGTTTTTAAGCGTGAGAAATTTATAATTGCGGGAGTCTACAGTTTGTCCTGACGGGGGGGGGGGGGTCATGGCAACTTTGATTTGCAGTCGTGTTTTTAAAATATTCGGTTTTTATTCGTTTATTATAAATATTATAAAAAAAATATGTATTTCTTAATAAATAAACAATGTTATAATAAATTCTTTTTTAATAAATGTTTTTATTCATATTTTATTATTTATGTTTTGTCCGCCATGTTGTTTATATAAACTTTTCACATGATTAACTCCCCTCCCCTTATACTAAAAAAAAAATATTCCGCGAATTGACCAATCAAAACAAAGTTATATTTTTTTTTTGATGATTTTTCTCGAGTGAGTAAAATGTAATAAATTGTATAGTATAAAAAAAAATTAAAAAAAAATACCCTTACTCCCCCCTGGCCTCCCCTTCACTTCTTTCCGTAAAAAAAAATAATACTTGAAACAAAAAAATAAATAAATTTATTTTATAAAAAAACAACAAACTTTTTGATTTTTCGATTTGTAAACGTTTTGATTTTCATTTATTTTTTATTATTTTATTTTATTTATATTATAAATATTTGAAACATTGTATTTTTTTATTTTATTTTTTTAAAATATATATTTATATTTATTATTTTTACAACAAAAATATATATAAAAAAATTATTAACTTTAAAAAAAAACCATAAAATTTAAAATTTGACTAAAACCTATGGAAAAAAAAAATAATCGTTTGGTATCTTTCTTCTTTTATAATTCTAATTTAAGCTATCAAATATTTTGTGGAAATTCTTTAAAACAGATTCAAAAATAAAATGGTAAGCAATACAAAAAAAATATGATTATATAATTAACCATTAATTAAAACCCAATTTGGGGTCTATTTTTAAAAAAAAACGGTGAGATTTGGTACCATCTATGAGCGAAACCATTATTTTCGTTATAATCTTAATTAGTGTTGTTTTTGAGCCAATTTTTTAAAACGGCTAACTCAATATTTTAGCCAGAAAAATATTGCCTAAGCCTCCCTTCTATGAGCAAAATCTTCAGGCTTGCGTAATATTTTTCTGGGTGGATTATTGAGTTAGCCGGTTTATAAAAATCGGTTCAAAACGAGCCGTTTAACAACACCTATCTTAATCGGGTCGTTTTTAAAAATCGTCCATTGTAATTTTTAACAAGAAATTTATAAGGTCACTCTCATCCTTCCCCTCCTCCCTTCACCTCACAATAACCTTTTACCATTGAGCTATGGGGTGTTGCCCAAATAAAAAAGATTAATTTATTCATTTCATTTTTGATTCTATATTCATAAAATATTAGATAACACAAGTTTGTTTTTTTTTTACAAATAATTTCAAAATGTAATATTTTTTTTTATCTATCATTATTATAAAGGATAGTATTAATTAAAATCGCGTTTGCAATAGAGCCCATTAAACGGAATACAAAAAATCGAAATATATGCTCATATCCTTCCGCCGTAACACTGAATCGCATCGTACTATGCTTAAGGCATTGTATGTTTAGGTGTAAGCGAAATATATTGATAAAGAAACTCCTAAGAAGTTCTCTATTGCTACAAAACCAAGAGGTTATCATCGAAGAATCGCTATCAAACAATCCCATAGCCGCTAATAAAATCGTGCCCGTAAACAGCTCTTCCTTCCAAAATAGTCGCGTTATGTTCGCGAAAACAAACCAACTTATAACATTCGCTCCCGCTTATCCCGGGAACGATGTCGCCAAATTCGATCCTCCGCGCGATTTTCAATCATTGCCCCCTCCTTTAATTCCGTCGAACCTTGTCTCGCGACGATCCCGAGACGCGGAACAAATTAAGACGGTTACGGAAAATTTCTTGAGAACGCTCAGCGATCTCGAATTGGAAATTTTATGGCGCGCCGTGGAAACCGGAGGTAGGACGTTAGAACAGAAGGCGAGTTTCAACATTGTCACCACCGATGACGATACCGCATCAAGCAAATGCCGCCATTTGCAACAAACACCCTCGAGTACCACATGTATTACGAGACCCAAAAAAGATAACCCTAACTCAACCGTAAATACTACGATGGATACTTGTAACTCCGCGACATGCGATGATATCCTATCCCCAGCGGTATTTTGTTGTCTGCATTGGCGATGGCCAGACTTGCTTCCGGTCGATCAGATAAATAGCTTACTAAGGAATACAAGTGACCCCCCACCGAATTCGAAAGATTACCGAAAACGGATTAAACCAACCCCATTTTGTTCTTCTGCTTCGTATTTATACCGTAATTACAATCCTATCCCCGGCAAAGATTCTAATAATTCTACGGGGGATCTAAATTATTCCGAATCACAACCAATTTGTATAAATCCTTATCACTGGAGCAGGAAATGCTATATAGGTAAATTTATATAAAAATTAGATATTTAATGCCCGCAGCCTAAAACGATTTTAGGGCGATAGAATATTTTAAGAGTCCAGGCCGAAGGCCAGTACCGGCCGCGTCGGCCTCTAGCGGTTTATCACTATCAATCATCAGTGTATGGGGATGAAATTTGGATTTTTTAAATGTGTGTCGATCTAAATAATGATCATTTAAAGGATATGGTTGTCTTTGGGTGCTTTCATATTGAAAAAATTTCTTAAATTTGATAAATATTTTTTAAAATAAAATCAACTTATCTTTTTTGATTAAATTTAGATTATCCGCCTCCGCCTTATCCACTCTATACCCTAACCGATTCCTCGAAATCCAATAATAAAGGTTTTTTTTTAAATATTTATTTTATTAATTTTTTTTAAAAAAATGGTTACCTTTTTTAGGTAAATAAATGAATATTAAAGAATGTAAAGAGAGTACAACTAGTGTTGTTAAACGGCTCGATTTAGCTGAATTTAAATTAGGATTCTAGCCAAATTAATATTATACAAGTTTCGAGATTTCGTTAATAGATATCCAAACCATTTCTGCAATCTAGCGAATCCCTAAGGTTGAGTAATATTTTTTTGGCTAATACGTAGAGTACAACTTACATTGTTCTTAATTAAATTTAAACGTATATAGTTTAAAAGTAATTAAATCATATAGGTAAAAATTTTAAATCAATATTGATCTTTACCCCTCCCCCCCCCCCAACATTCATTCAAAAAAACGTATAATTTTAAGACAATGAAAAACAAATAACAAATAGAAAACATTGACCTCCCTCCCATATATTTACCTTATTTTTACCTGTCCATAACATAAATTTACTGACTGCAGTCGTTACCCATGCGCCGAAAGTTCAAGTAGACCGGGCCAGTAAAAACGAGTGGGGCGAAAGGGCCCTAACCTAAAAAAATTTGAATGATGTCCTTATCGCACCGTCTTCACGCCCATCATATATTTCAATTTTTTATTATACTGGCCCGGCGCGGATTTATTTTAAATTATTTCCGGTCAGCCGAAAGTTGGATTACCTCTAATATATAATATTTAAATGTTCTTATCTCGCATCGTCTTCCGCTTTAATCATATTAGAATTTTTTTCAACGAGTTTCTTTAATGCGCATGCGCCCAAAATAACAATCTTAAGGGGAACGTGATTAAATAAAATATTTTTTATCCACTAGAATAAATAAATTATACATTAGCTAATTCTGCTTATCATCTCTCTAAGCATCGTCCAAGCTTACTTATTAAAGGAAATCGATGTAAATTATCTATTTAAAAAAAATCAGCTGGTTAAAAAATTAAATAAAGCATGATCAAAATTTAGAAGCTCCTTAAATAAATATCGCATCTCCCTTCCCATGGTCTTAATAAATGCAGCAATAAACATTTAACTACTGCTGCCATTAAAAAGTCAACTAGGACACCCTCTAAAAATGTAATTTCTAAATATAGATTTAATCGAGTAATCGAAAGTGTTGTTAAACAGCTCGATTTGAGCCAATTTTCAAAAACGGCTAACTCAATATTTTACCTAGAAAAATATTGCCTAAGCCTCGAGATTTCGCTAATGAATGCCTAAACCTTCAAGCCATCTACGAGAAAAATCTTCAGTCTTGCGAATTATTTTTCCTGGATAAAATATTGAGTTAGCCTTTTTTAAAAATCAGTTTAAAACGAGCCCTTTAACAACACTAGTAATCAATCGAGTCGAGAAAAAATTGCTTAATTTACTTCAATTATAAAAGAAAATAGTGGGGGTTTTTGTTTTTTTTTAAAAAATAATTCTTTTAAATTTTTTTAAAAAATTTATGTTATTATTAGTACTAACTTTTTGTATCTGGAAAAAAAAACGTTTTTTCCCCCCGACGAATAAATAAGCTTGAAAATATTCATTTTTTTACCCGTTTTATAAGTGCGCACAAATTGAACGTTTCAAACGCCGCGTTGCAAAATAATGCATTTCAAATGGCATCGTGCAAATTTGTAAAATTACCGTTTGGCGTTAGCAACAATTTAAGCAAACGCAAACAGTTTTGCTTTTTTTTCATTACTTCTTTTTATTCTCCATTTTGAAATATTTATATAAATGTAAAAAAAAAAATTTACTTATATCTTAAAAAGGAATATTCATAAATTAAGGAAATAAAAAGGCAGACGATTATATAACTTTCAAAGACAAATCCTTTTTTTTACAACTTAGTTAGAATTTTGAATCGACGATATTAATTAAAAAGGCAATTTCAAATTTAAACAAGGGATGGCGTTACGTTTTTTAAATTAAAAAATTGCGGCAAAGCGCGAACGCTCAATTTATGCGCACTATCAGTTCCACTTAAATTAGTTATGAATTCGTATTAATGTTATTTTAAGCGTGAACGCCCAAGTTGCATCACTAAAAGTTTAAAACTAAATTTCGGAATCACGTATTATTTTCATATATAATATTTTAAATGAACACATGATATTTTTTATTATCTCTCTAATTATAATATGAATATGAATTTCGTTTTAAATCCTTTGGACATAGGAATAAAATAGCTCACTAAATTCATAACTAGTTAGAGAAGAGAAGAGAAGAGAAGAGAAGTTAACCAATTTATATCTTGTCATGTTAACAAATTTTAGCATATCGCTCCAATAAAGGTACAGGTCGCGCTTAAATATTTATTTTGCAATCAGCAAGATTTTGGGTGAAATTATCATAAACTAGCAATTTATTAGAGACCATTTCCTGGTTGGGCATAGTCCAAGACTTGAAATCATTCTTATTTTTTTAAAGGGTCTAAATTTTAATAGTCAGTGATTTTCCAAAATGGATTCCAACTAACTTTCTTAATCCCAAACTATACAGGGATTGAATGGTTGTCCAATTTTTTTGAGTCAGAAAAGTTATATTTTTAAAGATGGAAGGTGGGGCCCGAATAAAGGTAGTTTTTTAAAACTATAAATATAACACCCCGCCAAAAGTTTAAATCTTTTAAAATCCCCCCCTTTTCTATTGGCCGTTAGTTTTTTTTAAAAAAAATTAAATTATAACGATAGCCAATAAAAAAAAATAGAATTATTTTTTTCTTGATGGCTGGTAAAAAAAAATCAAACGATTATATTATCTTATCTTTTTACCAGCAAAATAAAAGGATGTTAAAATTATCGCATTTATTCCCGCGAATTTTTTTTTCCTTTTAATTTTGGCGCCTTTAATATGGATTTTTCCGTAATAATAAGAAATTTAAAATTACTTACGAGGTTATTGGCTGGCTACCTTATAAAAAAATTTTTTAAATATTCTTTTTTATTATACAAGATACAAGAATATTTTTAAGAAAAATATATTGAAAAAGAAAGAAAGAAAGAAAAAGAATAGAAGAAAGAGGGAATGAAAAAAATGGAATTAATACAAATTTAATATATTATATATTCACCTGCTTGGCGCTGCGATTTTATTTTAGCAATTTTCTTTTTAAAACAAAATAACATAAAAAATTTGTTTGGCGACTCGCTGCGATTTTATTTTAGCAATTTTCTTTTTAAAACAAAATAACATAAAAAATTTGTTTGGCGACTATAAAATTTTTTTAAATTTTATATCATTAATAAATACCTAAATGTTATTTAATATTGTATTTTTTTAAAAAAAAAAAATATATATATATATAAAACAGTAGTTTTTAATAAAAAACGTAATTGGATTTAAATGTTATATTTTTTTGGTAATTATAGGCGATATAATTAAAAATCATTAATTTATTATTTTTGAAAAAGTACATGTTGCATTGCGAATCATGATGATGTATGGTTTTGTTTTTCCTACTATAATTTGATTTTTTTTTGTAGTGATTATGTGTAGTGTTGTTAAACGGCTCGTCGATGTGAACCGATTTTTAAAAACGGCTAACTCAATATTTTATCCAGATAAATATTACGCATGCCTGAAGATTTTGGTCACAGAATGGTACAAAGGCGAAATCTCAAGGTTTAGGCAATATTTTTCTGGCTAAAATATTGGGTTGACCGCATTTAAAAATCGGCTCAAATCAAGCCGTTTAACAAACTTTACTTCAAAGAAACGCGTTACTCTTTACGTCTGAAAAAAAGGAACGGGTTACTACTCGTTACTTAAAAAATTTTGTATTATATGCGATGAATAATATATAATATATTTTTTTTATAATACATGTATAATTTATAAATCGAAATGATACAAAAATAATTTATATTTAACAATTGATTTTTAAAATTTTGATCAGATAAACAAGAGTGCATAGTGCTCAACACTCTGTGCTAGAACGCACGTTCAACTGGTGCAGAGGATAGGGAGGGGGGGGGGGTTGCATTACAATGGATAAATGAAATTATTTAATTAAGGGGGGGGGGTTGGGGATGGGGGATTTTATTAAAAATTAAAGAATCTTTTTTAGTTTGGAAATAGTCATTCAGATGCCGTTCTAATTTTTCTTTGTGAGATATATCCTTATCAGAAAGCAATCTGTATGTGTGTTGTTTTTTATAAGAATTGCATTTTTTTTGTCAATATTTTTTCTGAAGCAGGAGGTAAGTTCAGGCTTCCTTCTTTCGCTGATATCCAGTCTTACGAGGGTCAATCTGATTCAAATAGCGGGTGAATTATTGCTGTTATATATATTTAACCGGAATAAAATATTATCAAAATATGAATTGTGAACAAAACTTCAGCTGTCATACATTTTATCTTTGTCTTGCAAATTTGCATTAATAAGTGGCTTACAAAATGAAATTATTTAAAGCTACTTTTTTTTAAATATCGTAATAGTTATCGTGGGAGTGAGATTTCCCAAAAGCATTTTTTTCTACTCTCTCTAAAGTCGAAAGAGCAGTAGGAACAGGTTCCATAACCTCTAAAATCATTCATGCAATATTCATATCCGGTTTTAATACTTGAATACAAAAATTGGTCAACATTTTCCTTTTTTAAAAATTGTAATGTACATAATATCACCGCGAAGAGCCGAAAAAAAGAAACAACCAATCTTTCGCTAATACAAAGATTTGATATACAATAATCTTGCTAATACTAAGATTGAATCTTGCTAATACTAAGTTGAGAATATTGCTAATATTGTACAAAACCAATTACCTTTGCCTTTAAGGTTCAGAAAAATATTTGCTAATACTAAGATAGAATCTTGCTAATACTAAGTTAGAATAATTGCTAATATTGTACTTTATTTACAATTTTCTAGAAAATAATAAATGACATCATTAAAACCAATTACCTTTGCCTTTGAGGTTCAGAAAAATATTTGATATTTGCCTTTGAGGTTCAGAAAAATATTTGATAATACTAATATAGAATCCTGCTAATATTGTTCTTTATTTTACAATTTTCTAGAAAAATATATATGTAAATATTAATTATGTAAAATATTTTAAATAAAACAATTACCTTTGCCTTTAAGGTTCAGAAAATATATGTAAATATTAATTAAAACCAATTACTATGTAAAATATTTTAATGATAAATTTTAGGAAAAAAAATTTGCCATTTGACTCAAAATAGTTTGATGACAAAAGAAAGATAAATGAATCGGACCGAGGCCATCTAGACTAGCCATTCATTAATGAAAAGCTGGGGACGCCATTTTGATTACCCATATCTCATTAAAAATTTTAAACAAGAGGCCAATTTATTCCTGTCTGACGCAAACTTTATTAGAGAATTGTGTGATCATCGAGATTAATAAGAAAGCAAGTTAACAATTTATTAGTACTTTTTAACATGACTATAATTACTATGAGTTACCAAAATGGCGGGCCCAGCTGATTTGCATTAAACGAGCTTTACATTAGCATCATCAGTTACTAGGTATTATTATAAGTCAATGAAATGACAGAAAGGTTTGGACATCTATTATCGAAATCTCGAAGCTTGCCGAATGTTTTTGGCTAAAATATGGGTTAGCTTTTTTTAAAAATCGAGTCATTTAACAACACGTCAATTAAAATTTATTAAAATTTGAAGTGTTGTATGACATAAGAGCTACTTTTTACAATAGAAAAAAAAATTATTGTTGTTCCTTGCCCTGTTAAAAAAAATAAAATAATTTTATATGTAACAGGAAACAAAAAAAAGAGGTATTGACTGGCCATCATAGAATTATATTAATTGATATTAAAATGAAAAAGGGTTCAAATAAAATGGACATCTGGTTTATAAAAACATTATTTTTTATATACAATGATTATATATATTATTTATCACTATCAAAATTTGACGTAACTGTTTGTTTAGAGGAGTTATATATGTACATAATAGTAATTAAGAGGATGTCGACTGTCGAGACTTGGTAATTGTATGAAATTTATTTTTTTTAAAAAAAAACAAAAATTAAATAAAAGATTTTGATTGGGGGAGAGGGGGGGGGGATACCAATTTTTTTAAAAATAATATTACGTTGACGCAATAAAAGTTGTGTATTTACCTAGTGTTGTTAAGCTGCTCGATTTGAGCTCCGATTTTTAAAAAACGACAAAGGTATGGGTATCTATTAAGCCTAATCTCTCGAGGTTCACGACAATATTTTTCTGGCTAAAATATTGATTTGGCCATTTATAAAAATAGGCTCAAATCGACCCAACAACATCTAATCCTATCGATTCAATGAGCTGGCTGTCAGGGATACCCACAAAACCGACCCGGAAGTTTTTATTCGAAAAGTTAGCGCAAAATCTTTCGCACTAGTTTCGTTAATCTGGACTCAGAATAATTCCTCCGAAAAAAAAATCACTTAACAATTTAAATAACCCTCCTCCTTCCTCATATAGAGGATTTTTTTCCCGGGAAGTTATTTTGCGTTTAACCGGGATTCATGGGTTATTTCAACAATCCTCACGATAATAATTTATCAAATATTTAATTTCTTTCTCTATCAAAATTTGTAGGGTCTACATTTTCTCCTAATTTCCTTAAATTCCTATATACTTCTTTCATTTCAGGTAATCTCATAGTTTCAAAAAAATGTATTCCATTTTTAAAAAAAAATATATATTGCATAAAATGATCATGTAAATTACTAATGAATTAAATTTATTTCCTCAAGGTAACAAACAATCAGTCTTCAGCATTAATTTAATAATTTTTGGATTAATATAATCATAAATTAGCCCAAGAATATATGAAAAGGTTGATCTTTTCATTCTTGTAGAATTATAAAATTGGGAATGTGTCAAATCGCCTTTTATATTGATATATTCAGAAAAAGGATTTCTTTTAACATATATTCGAGATGTCTTGCACTTCTTCCTTCCTTAATTTTTTTTTAAAGTAAATACAGGGCAAGCATTTTTTTTGTTTTAAATTTAAATGTTTCATATTGGAAAAAAAAATAAAACTCAACGCGTCAATTTAAATATGGCAGCGTTTAAGTTTTTTTTATATGCGATTTGAAAGGCTGCGTTGCAAGTCGCAACGTTCAATTTGTGTGCGCTATATTGCCAAATCTGTTTTAAATCTTGGTTTTGACGGATTTTTTTATTTTTGAGGATGTTAAAGGTATCCATCCCGTGATCAAACACCGGTTAATAAATATTAAGGCGTTTTGAGGTTTCTTCCAAATTTGAACTTGATATCTTAAGAAAAACCCCGAGGTCAAACTGGATAGTTTGAAAAACTTAGTTTAAGGGGCTAAAAATTTGCTTAAACGGCTAAATTTAGTAATTACCCAAGGGATTTGAGACCAACTACCGATAAAGATCATTGAAAAATCAGCCCAATCCCAAATAAGATTGAATTTCAGATAATAAATTTAAAATTAAATTTTTTTTTTCGTGGAAACTTAACCATAATAATATTGTTCAACCCCCTCCCCCCAGGCTTTTCTTATTTTGAGTGATATCATGATTCTGTTATAAATTTAGAAGATACTGACTGCTTGAAAAATTATTTCCGAAAGGGCTCGATTTGAGCCGATTTTTAAAAAATGGCCAGCACAATATTTTAGCCAGAAAAATATTGCCTAAACCTCAAGATTTCTCTAACAGATGTCCAAACCTAAGTGTCATATGAGCAAAATATTCACAGGCATGCGTAGTAATATTTTTCGTATAAAATATTTAGTTCGTCCTTTTTTTTTAAAGATTCTTAAACCGAATCGTTTAACAACACCACTAAGTCAGAAGAAGAAATGTTGATGGATGGATGATGCGATGTACTTAATATATTAGTCATTTAAAATCATTTTCTCTTTCGTAATTTTATATATTTCCCTTTTTTTTAAAAAAAAAATCAATTTCAAATGATTATTTTTCAAAATAAAATCGCGAAAAGTATTTATTTTTAACTTGGATTTGTTTATTTATTTATTACATAATTATTTTATCGATCTTAACTTTTTAAAAATCATTTACTAGAAGAAAAAGTTACATTTTTTTTATTTAAAGGCTACGCCAAACGTGGTACCCCTTTCTGGCGATCTTACGTCATACCCCTCACTCCTCTTTCTGCGTATTAAAAATGCCGGGCATTAGGGAATACTTTTTCCCTTGGGAATAAATTATTAATTTGCGCTTTCCATCTTTTACGCTTTATTTTATTTTCTTTAAATTAGCGTTAAAATTCGACAATGCAAATAATGACCTACCTCAATTAACGTCACATAACGAATCAACTGAAACTGGCGGAACTCTTCAGGGGGTCGGCTCCGTAGTACCTCACCCGCTTCGCCGAAAAAGTTATATTTTACTTCTTAGAATCCTTTATGTCGAATTGCTCGATTTGAATAACGAAACTATAAAATAAAAGTCAATAAAAAAATTTTTATTGACGGTTTAAAAGGGCAAACTTAAAATTTTAAAGGTTAAATTTGATATAAATTATATTTGAATAAGGATAATTAGGTTAGATTTATATCATAAGGCTAAAATACGTTAAATTAACTTATTATACTAAATGGCTAATCCAAAACATAATACAAAGCAGAGACCTTGCTAAGGTAACATTTTCACGGCCCGGCCCGGATTTTTTTAAAATATATTATATTTGTTTTTATAGCTAATAATGGCGATTTCGAATATTTGGTTTTAAAATATACGGCCTGGCCCGGATATTTTTTTAAAAAAATTTTCGGGCCCGGCCAGGGTATATTAAAAAAAATTAAAATACAGCTCGGGCCGGGCCTGCAGGTCTATGATACAAAGTTTGTTAGATAATTTATTCTCCGTGTTTACATGGTTAGATCGATATTTTTCGGGGATGCCTTGATTTACGAAAAAATGGAAGGAGGGGAGGGGGTGGCAGACATCAATTAATTTTATCGCCAAAATGCTTACTAAATTTACCATTTCATTCAATTCACATTCATAATTACAAAAAAAATCTTATCCTTATTCTTTAGAAGAAAATACTTCGGCGCTTCATCGCCTCGACAAATTTGCCGATAATATCTCTCCACCTCCTTGGTGTTCTTTAGCCCGTTGGGAATTCAAGCATTTTTCCGGTCCTCAAACACTTAATTCTGAGCCCGTCGTTTTTTTACCCTCCCACATCGGTTCGTCACAACCAGCTGATTCATTAGCCCTAGGTTTTTATTTAATAAATCCGCGAATTTTGAAAAATTATTATTGATTAAATTTTTTTAAATTTATTATTTTTTCATATATATTTAACCCTATTAGCCATAGAGCAACGATCACGCCGAACAAACGTTTATTTGTTCAACCAATCAACTCACGCCATTTTTGCCGACGTTTCGCACACCCCGGGCCAACCAATACGCCTTCCACCCGGCCATTGTGCGCGGATTTATGATTCGCGGCTTTGCAGGGTTAGCGATCGGACGAAATTTACGACGCTCGATGGTGGCAAAGAAGATATCGATAATAACAATATTGCTTGTCCCAAGGATATGATAGATATCTGTAAAACTACCCGTGAAAATAAACGTGATGAAGGTGTCAAAGTCTACAGTGAGGATGGGAGTCGTTATTCGGACGATGGCGATGATAGGGAGGGCACGAGGGAGCAAGAAGAAATGGGAAATTTTGGGAAGGTCGATGCCGGAGACGATGAGATAGATATTTCGGCAGCGGGAAAGATACCAAATGCAGATGCCGGAAATGGGTATACGATTAAAGGGGAGCGGGTGGAAGTTACAGAAAAATTAATGCTCCCTCAACAGGAGACGCTCCGAAATGAACAGTTTCGACCTCACGCCGTTTTACGGGTCAGTCCCATAAAAGGATGGGGCCCGGGTTATTCCCGAAGATTCATTGAATCCTGCCCTGTATGGTACGAGATTACCCTTTTCTTATAATTTTTAAACAAAAACGCGATGAATCTTTCGGGATAAATCAAATAAACGCCCTTTAAACACGATAACTATACGCTGATTACAGAAAACTGCTCTAACTATATTATATTATACGTATCACAATTAAATATAGATATAATTATATAAATAAATATCGAAATAAATGTTATATGAAAAGTTCTTCTTATTGAAAAATTTTGTTTATAAAAGCGTTGCCTTAATTTTTAAGACGCCCATACTGCCCGGCTAAACTGTTAATAATTATAAAAAATGAGGCAGCAAAGTCCTTGGTATAGTTTGGGTAATTATTTTTTAGTCGTTTAAGCTAACTTTTAGCGGGCTAAACCGAGTTTTTAACTGGAAGTTATCACTGTGACCTCGGAGGGTTTTCCTTAAAAATATAGCAGCGCAGATTTGAAAGAGACCGATATAAATGAAAGCCCCCTTAATATTAACGGATTTCCACCAGCTCGCGCCTATGGATTGAGCCGACATTTGCCATTGCCTAACTGTAGTTCTTAGAAAATCTTTTAATTTCAATTAACTAAAAATCTGTCTGAACTGGAATCGGAATCTATATATCTTCAACACCGGGTCATATACAAGGAATCACCAGAAATGTCCCAATTTTTAAAAATTTGTTTACGGGTAATTTTAAAAGCGTTGACAATTTAAGAAATGCATAAAGGGTGGGGGAGGGGGGTAATTTAAAAATATTTACCTTTTTTAAGCGTCTAAATTATATTTTTTCTGTCCGTGACTCAAATATAAGTTACCCACCTTTTTTAAAAAATATTGGCAACTAATCCTTTTTTTTTGTTTACTCCAGGAAGGACTTAATTTTCCAAATTAACTTGTTTTTAAAACGGGTTCAATAAAGGCTCCCATTTATATTTTTTATATATTAATAATTTATTAACTTTTTGTTGGTAAATTAAACGTAATTTAAGTAGTCTACGCGTGCGCGCCTATTCAAAATTAAGAATTTTAATTTAAAAGAAAAAAAAGAGACTATTTTAAATGATTTAATGCAAACATTTTTTTCTAGATAAAAGGCTCCGCATTAATTTTTATAAAGTTTTTTTTTTAAATTTAAGTAGCCTTACGCATGCGCGCCTATGCTAATTTATTAATTTTAAAGGAACAAACAAACTATTTTAAATTCGAAGCCAGTCTGCTTACTGAAAAAAAATAAAATATTTTTAAAATGCTAAGCCACTCTTTTCCGAATGAATTATTTTTTAAAAAAAAAAGTTAAAAGGTTTTTTCATCGATATAAAAGGCTCCAAGAAGCTCTTATTTTATATATACTTTTTTATAAAAAAAACTCAAACTACGCATGCGTGTCTATTTTAATTAAGAATTCCATTTAAGAAGAAAAAAAACGATTAATGCTTTAGCCAGTCTGCTAAAAATAAATTAAAATATATATTGTGAGTTCAACATGTACGGCTTTTCAGTATTACCTTGTCTCCATGCCACCACTTGCCTATAAATTAAAAATATTATACTTATTACCTTTTAAAAAAATATAATAAATTAGCTTTATTTTATTTTTCTCTTCAAATTACTATAATTGAATTGAATAAATTAAATAACTAGACTGTTATCTTTGGTGGCATATTAATTTTTTTTATATGTTTAAATACCTTTTTTTTGTAGTATATTTTAATTTTAAAACTTATTTTTTTCAAAATTTTAATGATATTAATACACCATACAATTACGAAAAGGATGGTTTCGTAATAATTCCCAACAAAAGAAAACCTTATTGCTTTTTTTGTTGAGAGAAAGGCAGATTCCAGTCCTTATGGGAAGGAGATAGGATCGCATTTATCAATCTCTCTATTTCAATTTCAAAATTATAGTACAGAATAGACATTGAAACTTTATATCAAAAATTAAAATTACAAAATAATTATATTTTTTTTATACATGAATCTGATCTGATTATATCATAACATTGTAAATAAGAATTAAAATTGATGATGATTGTAGTCTAACAAAATATATAAATTAGATCTAGATTATCGACATAAATAAAAAAGATTGTTTTTAATTTATATTTTATTTCAAAGGTAAAGAAGATAAAAAAAAACATGATATGATAAATGAATGATTTAAAAAAAAAATACTAATAATGTATTTATTCATTAATGTTTATGTTATTAATTATATCCTAGTAAATTTAACTTTTTATAAACATTATATATATTTTTTTCTACCTTTTGAAAAGATAAGTGTCTATTACACAGATAGCCCGACATATCGTCTCTTATTCATTTTACTTTACTATTAATATTATTTTTTCTTTCTTCTTAAATTTTGTTGCCAATAAGGTATAAATATTGTAATATACCTTAAATTAAATCAATATTTTATCTTAAAATAAAGTAGGGTAGGTATGAACATGAAATAATAATTAGTTTTCGAATTAAAGTTGGTAAAACTTTTCTTTTATTTTTTTAAAAAAATGATATTTAAAATACGGTAAAAAAAAATTTTTTTTTTTACGTATCGCGATAATTTATTATAGTAGCGAATCAGTTAAGTTAAATATTTTATATACACGATGTTTATTAGAGATCTGCAAAAGTAGGCCCGAAAAAAGAAATCGGGCTGGGCCATTGGGCTTTGGAATTTTTTTTTAAATATCAATTTTATGTTGAATTTTTAATGTAAAATAAAAAATATTTGATTTTATAAGAAACTCGACACCATATATCATTTATTTTGAGTAATTATAAAAAAAATTACTATATTTAAATAAATTCGGGCCGGGCCGGCAAAACTTTTTAAAAAATATCGGGGCCAGGCTTGAAAAATTAGTCCCGATGCAGATCATGTTTATATTATCTCATTTCTAGTGATGTTAAAAGTTACTTTTGAAACATAACTAGTTACAGTTACTAGTTACATTGGCAAAAACATAACTAGTTACAGTTATTAGTTACATTTTTACAAAAGTAACTAGTTATTAGTTACAGTTATTTTCAAAAGTAACTAGTTACTTACTTTATACATCATTCATATGCGCATTATTTTATTGAATGCATTTATTTAATAAAAAAAAATTAGGATAAACAAAGTATAATCAGTTATTTAAAATAATATACAATTTATTTATATAAAAAAATATCGCAAAATTGAATATTTATATCGAATATAAAAATATATATTTGCATTGAAAAAAAAACATTTATTTTTCATAAAAATTAGAATCTAATAAATGTTTATTTGCTTTTAACAACAATTAATTTCAAAGTTATTATCTAGGAAACGTGCTCGTTTATCTCCAAAAATGAGCTTACCTAGACTGAACAAGCGCTCTACGGGAGCACTTGATGTTAGAACAACATTATATTTAATAAAGAGTAATTTTAACTTTGGAAAATCGTTATATAAAGAAAAAGTGTTGTTATTAGATTTGATAAAGTTTTCTATAAGTTCATTATCCAGAATATTTTGGCGCATTAGGTCAAAAAATCCAACTACATCAAGTGATGTTGGTTATGAGTATGATTCATTCGTCTGGGATTCACTTTGAGGTATTAAGGTATTTATTAAATTATAAAATTTCCTCCTTTTTTTGCTTTATTCCTTTCTTGCCTAATCCAAGGCAAGTCAGTTTTAAATAAAGGGTGAAGAATTGCAGCAATGATGTTGTCATTATCATAAAGATTATTAAACCTATAACATGATATTTTTGTTAGACTTGGTTCTTGTAAGTAATGATTAATAATTTAATATTAAATTCTAAAATAATCTGTCTTTGTTTTTCCTTATACTAAATTTTAAATTTTTTTTATTACGTATGATATGAAGTTCCAATGCTTGTTACTTGACGGAAAAAAATATATTGTGCTACATTTGTAAATAAATATAATATTAAAATTTATTAAATTACTTTTTGCTTACAAAATTAAGAAGCCCAGCAGGAATGTAACAATTTAAGTAAAGAAAATCAATTTGAACCGGAAATTATAACAATCAGACATTTTCACAAAATTTTATATCTTTAAAAGTAACTAGTTACTTTTGGCAGTTACATTTCAAAAATTATAACTAGTTACAGGTACTAGTTACAATTTTAAAAATATAACTAGTTACAGTTATTTTTATAACTAACTAGTTACCTTAACATCACTACTCATTTCATTCATTATCTGTTACTAGCCTAACTTGAAGGAATTATCTGGGTTTACCTTCACATTTGAAAAAAAAAATATTGCTTCTATACATGATAACCAGAGAACCTACAATCCTGGCCCTAGTAAAAAAATTTAAATAAACCCCGAAGGGGCTTAAAAAAATTTATCTAAAAAAAAATCCGGGCCAGGCCTAAAAAATATTAACAAAAAAAAATACTAGGCTGGGATTATTTAAATATTTTTCCCATCAATTTATCATTTTTTTATAGTATTATTTGTATTAACTATATAGCAAGATCCGAAAATATTCGTTGATAATAATGATCAGGTGAGACATAATTTTAAAATAAACTTTTAACAATTCGAAATTTTCAAACCGTATTTAATATTTTTTTATTGTTTCAAAATATTTTAAGTATAATTAAGGCACGACTATCATTAGACCCTCTAAACCACTATATAACAAGATGATGATTTCTCAAATTTAAAAGTAGTTTATTTGAGTAATGGGTCATTTAAAATCAGGCGCATCTGTAGAAGGCTTGTCTAATCTAGGGAAGCTTAATTTTGAAGAAAAGCTTGCACCCACTTTTAAATACCGATTTGGAAAATAGTTTATTGTAAAAGTCATATTAAAATTTTTATTAAGCCCATTTTTTATTTTGGAATATAAATATTATATTGTGTTAAAATTTAGATATTTTCCCGGTAACATTATGAATCGATATATATTTTTTTAGTTCAAATTGATTACATTGCGGTGTATATATATATTTTTTTTTTCAAAGATATCATGGCTTAATCTAATTTAATTTACATTTAAATTCCTTTCATCCAAATTTGTAAATAAATTATTTTATATAATATAGAATTGTGGTAAATGCCATTTAAAAATTATTTGTTTAAAAACTTGCAATGTAACCCGTTACTTTTAAAATGTAACGAATATAAGCTAGTT